GATGATTGTTAGGAATGAATCTCCATTTTTTTCTCTTAAACTAATTAAATAAATAAATTGTTGTTCATTTTTACCTCAGTAACTTTATAAAAAAACGGTGCTAATTATCTTAAGCTTTGTGTTTTCATTAGGTTCCAGCCTCCATCTGAAATGAACACGTCAGACGAATCACCCTGCATGTAACCTGCAGTATTTTAGTTTTTTTACGGGACTTAAAAGAAGGATTTGATGATATTCTAATTAACAGAGATGCTCAGTGAAGTTTCAGCAGCTTGTGCCAAAAGCCTCTCAGAGCTAAACCTCCTTTTCTCCAGAGTCAGAGGGAATAAAAACATCTTCTTAACACTTTTAATCCTAATTTAATGAGTGGAGCTTCTTGGCTCCCTGCAGCCTCACGTTTCCATCCAACATGCAGATGGAAACTCCGGTTCCTCTCAGTGGAACCGGAGTGATTCTGACGTGCAGCGGATGACCTTGTGAGTGACCCCCGCTGTCAAACTGCAGCAATAACAGAGAGCTGTTAGTGTATTTTTAAGGAACTTCCTGTTAGAAATGCATAATGAATGAGAGACGATGAAATGGTCTATTTTTAGTGCGGCGGTGTTTGATACGGATTGCCGAGCCGATGAGGTTTAAGTTGAACGTTTGACTCGGTGGTTCATTTGTGAGCCGATCAGGACCGAAAAGCTCCGGATGTCCAGGCAGAACATTATGACCACTGCTGGAGAATCAACTCCTTCTTATAAAGTTGATGCATTTGCTCAACACGTTGGTTGTGATAAGAAGTTGTTACATTTAATAATGTTGCAGTTTTCTGATAACTAGTCGAGGTGATGACTCCTGTCATCATGAAAATGACCGAGACCCTTTTAATCTATCGTGTGATTGATTCTCATTGCTGTCATGCTAACAGATCAATATGCGGCGACCAGAGTCGACTCCACGCTATTCTTTTTATTTTTAAGCAGTTTTGAGGCTCGGAGGCGAAACCTGAAACTGCTGCTGCGCCAGTTACTGAGCAGTCTGTTGCTAGGTAACCAAAGAGTGAGTGAGCTCATTAAAGTGACTAACCTGTGAGAGGTTGATTAGAGTTCATTGAATATTTTATATGTTGAATGTTAAATATTCTGTCAGCTGTGTTATCCGTTGATATTGATCACGTCTCAATATATATGAATATTGACTTATTGACCAACCCTTGTCTGTAAATATTGAATATTCAGAACATGGTCACTTCAGTAAAAGATTCTTTAAAGAGACTCACTTTAGTAGTGATAGGGTGGAAGTTTTAATAAAACTTTCCTTTTTAAATGATTTCTAATCCAAAAATGCTGAAAATGTGGCTTTGTTGTGTCATGTTGGGTTTTATTGAGGTTGTGCAGCGAATCCTCCGCCTCACCTGTCCATAGTGTTCGGACGGTGAGTTTCTGCTGCCGGTCTGTCCGACTGAAACGTGTCCGTTCTGCCGCCCGCAGGTGGAGGCCGGTCGATCGTTGCTGACGGCGGTGAAGCCAGTGAGCCAGGTAAAACAACGAGCTGACGCGGGTCACGCTCTGCAGCACTTAGCTTTGCCACAGAGACGCCGCTGCCGTCCCCTGCTCGGCGTTAAGAGCTTGTCCTCCTTCTTCCTCACCTACATTTCACACAAACACTCAGAGGAGAAGCTGCTCGGCTCCTGGGCTTTTGGTGGACGTGTAAATGTGGAGCGTCTGTGTTTTTCCTCACACCAGAGGAAGGTTAAAAAACACACACAGGCTGTCAAACCAAAACAAAATGCTTTTCTCTTTTCATGGATGCAAAGAAAAAAACATTTATTTTGTTAAATAATCACATTAAAACCAACTTTTGCTCCATTCAGTTTTAGGTCTTCATCAGAATAGTTTTATTGTTAGTATTTTACAATCTGCAAACGATCAAATTCACAGATACAAACAGTCAGAAAGAGCCAATGGATACAAATTTATTCTTGTAAATTACAAATTTACTGTCATAATACTAGAACTTTATTCTTGCCCTGTTATAACTTTATTCTCATCGTTAAATGTTTTTATTTTCCAACACAACGTTGTACAAAAGCATCTAAATGTCGGAAATTTGATAAATCAAACTGAAATCAGAAAGTATTGGTACCGCTAACACTGGCCCTGTAGTTATAATATATATTATTGAAAAGCTCCAATGCTTGGTGCAAAAAACCATTTATTATCAGTCTGATGATCAGATAATCATCACAACAATAAACTTTTTTAAAATCTTGCTGATTGACTTTATGTTTCCTTGTATGTGAGCAGATCCTCCCCGTTTCAGACGGATCCGTTTGGGTCGGAGGGACCCCGCTGTCCGTCTTTTTGTCACCCTCAGCTGTCGGCGTTAATCTCAGCTTCCAGTCTGACGGACAGTGATTGATGCGTCTCTCTTTAGAAAACCTCCATCATGGCCGACACTCACAGAAACAATTTTATGCCGCTTTGCCTCTGATGGAACCACAGAAGCTGAACCCACAAAACTTTGTGCTGAAAATGTTTTTTGTTTGCTGTTTGGGTCCTTGACGCTAAAATGTCTGCTAACTTGTAAACAACTACATTATTATCAAATATTTTAAAGGATTTTATCAATCCTAAAGTCTGCTTGGATGAGGATGTAGAAGAATTAATTTTGCAAGATAATCAAGTAAGTTAGCGCTTTATAATTTATCCAGAAAAAACGTAAATAGTCTTTCTAAAGACAGCAGAAACACTAAATTGCTAGATAAAAAATAGGCTTGCTATTAGCACATTGGTGGACGTTTGCCCACCTTTGTCCAAGAGAAATTAAAAATATCACATTTAAAATCAAATATTTAACTGTTTGTTTTGCCGACTCTCAAGTCTCCTATTTAGATTTTGTTTTGGGAAGTTTCCCCCATTGATCTTCCATTTTTTCATCTCTCTTCAGATTGGGTGTTTGACCCGCCTCGATCCGAAAACCGCAACAAGATGGAGATCAGCTGCATCACCAGCAACATGCATGAGATGAGCGACCCGGCCGAGCGGCCGCGGCTGCTGGAGGTGGGTTACGTATCGCTGAACCACACCAGCTGCCTGAACCCCAGCCGGCCGGAGGAAACCGTCTTCACCGTGGACGAAACCCTCCAGCCCCGTCTTCCTGACTCTCAGTCCGGGACTTAAGCGTGACTTCCTGTTGTTGTCCTGAGAGAAACAAAGCAGCATTCATCCTGTTTGGGGTGGAATCACCAGTTGGTTGTGGGGGGAAGCTTTAATCCTTTGCGGCATCGGCTGCAGGACAGCAGTTGATGTTGGGCCACGTCGCCAGATGCTGGTGTTTGTTTTAAAGGGACTCCTTCATGTCAGGATCAGAAGAGAAGCAGCACCAGATTCATTTGGGTTACAGATGGACGGTCCCGCCGGCCCCCATGTTTCATCCCTGTCATCATGACCTTTTCAGTACCAAGCTTTAATGTATTACACTCTGTATTCACATTTATCACCTGAAATATGCACCTCAGTCGCTCAGTAAATTAGCGTTAACTTTGCATCAGACTGTGCACAACGTTGTAATCACTGAGGCAAAAACTATCCACCTTGAAAAGCCTTTTGTAATGTCATGCTGTTAGTTTGATGTAAAAAAGTGCTAAGTCACCTCTGAGCTTTGTTCCACCCAAATGCAAAAAAACAGAAACGCTGAGGCGACGGTTTTACCCACTTTTAAGGGCTGCATGCGTCTGCTGACACAAAAACCCTGAAACCTGTGCATACTGTGATCCTCCTCTCAAGCACATGCAGCAGCTTTAAGGTAAAATATAGAAATACTGTTTCCACTGTTTCCTGTGACACCCAGTGAACAAAAAACCCTGAAAAAATATCTGTTTTTTACTTGAAGCTGTCAGTCACTGTAACCTTTTCAAATTTATAAATCAATAAAGTTGTAGATGAGATGTGTTTAAAAAGGTCCCATGCTATCTGTCTAGATAAATAGCCTTGTAGCTAGCTTACTAGCTAACTACAAGCTAGTTTCTCTGTTTATCTAGCTATCTATGTAGCTAGCTACTTGTCGAGAAAGATAGCTATCAATCTATGTTGCTACCTAGCTAGCAGCATAGCTATCTATGTAACTACCTAAATAATTACATAGTTAGCCAGACAGTTACATAAATAGCTAGCACACTAGCTACAATGAACAGTTTCTGTGTTTAGCTCGCTAGCTGTATAAATATTTAACTGTCTATGTAGCTAGCTGCATAACTATCTGTAGGTAGAAAGATAGCTTTCAATCTATGTTGCTGTCAAGCTATTGACATAGACAGCTATCTATGTATCTAGCTACAAAGTTGCATAGTTGGCTAGACAGCTACACAATTAACTACAAAGATAGAGAGGCAGAAGCAGCTTTTGTTTAGCTCTCAGTGTAAGCAGCTATCTAGATACATAGCTAGCTAGATGCCTAGATAGCTACATAGTTAACTACATGGATGACTAGCTAGGTATCTAGCTAAATATAAACATAGATAGCTTGAGGATTAGTATAGGTTTTCTACATCCAACCATTCATGGACAACTTTGACGTCTTTAAGGTATCTTGTAACTCTAACCAGCTTTTTTTTTTCTTTTAACGTTTTATTGGCTCCATCAGCCTTTATTTTAAAGTAGTTCGACAGGAAACGGTGATGAGAAAGAGGGAAGACATGCAACAAATGTCGCCAGGAATCGAGGACTAAGGCCTCGATACGGTTCGGTCGGTGCCACAGCACCAGCTGCTGTCCTCCGAGGACGCAGTGACAATGCAAATGAGCAGAGCCTGCAGATCACACGTGTTTAAAATTTAAAATAAGGCTAAATGTGTGACCTGTCCAGGGTGTACACCACCTCCCCAGGGACCCTGAAGACAGTGTTTGGAAGGATAAAGATTGTTTACCATTCTTTAACCAGGCCAGTCTAGACTTCCTCCAGTTATAGTAAATTTGTAGGTCCAATAAGTTCCCACTTATAAATGAATGCTGCCTAAATAAGAGCCAGAATCTCTTCTGTCATTGTGTCAAATGTTTATTTGTACATCCTCATATCACCTTGCAGTATGTTGGTGTTAGCATTTGTCATACAAATCACTTACAGGACAAAAGAAGGAAATCGAGTGTTGTGGGTAAAACAGATGGACAGCTATCACTCTGTCTCAGGCACTGGCTATGCTAACTGTGTTAAAGCTTCAACATAGTTAGGTAGACAGCTATATAACTCAATATTTACATAGGTAGCTAGCAACCATATTTTTTGTTGTTGTCAATTTTTCAGCCTTATGCATCTTAATATAAATGTTTACTGATATACATTTCAAACTACAATTGCATTTTCATGATGCAGCAACTTTCTCCACATTTATAAATTACTTAAGTCATTATTTATGTATTGACTTTCCAACGGCATCATTTACGATAGATTTATTTTCGGATTCAACAATTCGAACACATCCCATAAGGCCGGTTCTGTCTGTTTATCACTGATGTTTCCTGAAAATGTTTGTCATTAGTCCTCAGGCCACCAGCTGGACCTGCTGGGTCCTGTAGGTGTCAAAGTCCCCAGGAAGAGTGTCTGAAAAGATTTAAAAGACAATGTCAGGTCAAGGTGAGATGATCATTTTGATTATTTCAAGACGTTAAGTAGATCTAACTGTAAATGCATGGACTGAACCAGAAGTGATCTGCGCCACCTTAGTAGACATGTGCAAAGCAGATCAAACCCATCGCACCAAGCCCAACAAAAGTAAATTATATGGACATTCCAGTTCAATGTGTGAGAGAAATATACATGAACAAAATGGCTGCTGTTGGGATCGACCCCTTTGTGACGAAGAAGGAAAATATGTGGACAAGCTGCCTCCGATCTCGTATTACTATTCTTCACCACTGAACACAAAGAGTCCGCAAACATGGAGGAGCTTCTCGCCGGATACAATCAATGTCTTAATGGCTTTTTAGAAGGACGTATGAACTTTAGGTGAATTACAAGGTTCTGGTGACTGATAGAGTGAGTACATGTAGTGGTTTACCACATGTATACCAGAGCCTCACCTGCCATCATGGAAGCATAATATAATGATAAGATAAATTATATTGCTATTTTCATCCCGTATTTTGTACTATGAAGTATTTATTTTTCATTCAGTTTAACCAACTTTGGTTATTTTTTCTTCAAAATCACTGAATTTTCTCATTTTCCCATTGAAATGCTCTGAAGTGAAGCAGGCGAGGCAGCAGGGAGGAGCTGAGCCTCACCTGGTTGGTCCAGGTGTGTAACTGCACTGGCTGCCATTATATGGGAGCATGCTAGACCTGTCTGTACGTCGCCAATAAAAACATTTAATATATGCTCTGATTTTCCATCATTTAGCTTAAGTACATAATGTTCAGCGTTTGTTGTCAGCAGCTGTGTGTTTCATAAAGAGAACAGATTGGAGGGGAGGCAGGCAGTTCTCTGGCCTCCTGGCAGGGGGCGCTCATGAGCCCAGACAATGTGACTCCAAACTGCAGAGTAAGAGACAACGCACTGGCCTTGCAGTAAATAAGTGAAGCTAAACGCAGCGAGTCTAGCTTGGCTGATACAGAGAGCGAGAAAAAGGTGGTTTGAGTTCAACAGGCTTCCCTTTGCTGTGCAGCACTAAATTAATAACATATTTCCAGGTTTTATTGACTTAACGGAATTATTCTACCTAGGACGCGCGGCTACGGATAGCATGTGACGGTAAAGTCTTTTTGCCCTCCGATGTTTTCCGCATGTAAAACATAAATTTCCTTATGTAAACATTAACATGCAGGGGCTCTGATGATTTGATTCGGCCAGATTTGATTAAGTGTCTATAAACCAGCTCGGCACTGAATTATAGGGTACATGTCCGTTTTAGCTAGCAGACAAGCTACATTAGCTCAGCTAGTTCTGCAGTAAGACTGCAGTAAATATCCCTGTATAAATTAGCGTTATACACAGAGAGTATTCAAAAATTGTGATCGAGTAACAGTTGTAATGTACTTATTGTTTATAACTTAGGAATGAGGCTAGAACTAGTTTTTTCCTGAGCTTTTGGTTTGTTTGTTGTTTTCGTCATTCACTATATTAACTATCTAGAGACACACAGAAACCCCCCCATAAAAACTTCAAACCTAAAATGATCTGCGGAAACACAGCTGACCAATCAGAACCAAGGTTGGCACTCTAAAGCATCCAAGATGGCTGCCAGTTACACAAGATCACAACAGTTTGTCTTTACATGAGAACTGTCTATTGAACAACTGTCCCTGCAGAGGTTTTGAGCATTTTGAAGGGAACTTTTAGTGAGTCAGATTTTTTTTGTTTTTGGAACTAAAACTGATGGAAAAGGTGGAAAACTGTCCTGTTTCCGCTCACCGTTGCAGCGGTACCGCAGGTTGGCCCAGATGATGTTCTCCTGGGAGAAGCAGAAGACGCCGAGCCGGCCTCCTCTCATCGTGGCGTCTATGATGACGCCGGTGTCTGCCACCATCTGAGGGCCCTCATAGAAACGGACTCTGCAGCAACAGCAGAGGTAAAAAAAAACCTCAGTGGAGATTTATCACACAACGCAGGAGACATAAAAAAGGTTGATTTGTTTTCCTTGAATTTACATGAAATTAAAATGTCTCATCAGCAAATAATCAAAGAAAGACGGTACAAAACTCAACAAATAAAAACTGAATCCATGAGTGAAATGTCGGTCCAAAAGAATCATTTTCTAATGCATTAAACGTACGGAAAGGTGTTCAGATTGGACTCCGTAGAAGAGGGTGATATGCTCTGTGATTTTGCTGTTTTTATGTAAGAACCATCTAAACAGTGAAAAATTCCCGTTCCCACATTGAGCCCAGCCTGTACCTGATGTAGCCATCAGCGGGTCGGTGCTGCAGGAACCAGCGATACGAAGTTTTGTCCTTCCAGCCCACGTTGCGAGGATCTTTCCACAGGAGCTTCACCTGGTCTCCGGTGTCTCCGGTGTGCCACAGGGCGTTTCTCAGGTTCTCACCCGGCCCTGTGCTCGACTTCACCGCCTGACCGCAAACAGTTTATTTAATGTTTGAGCAACAAAAATTATTCTCTTCACACAAAATCTTGAAATGAAAACATGAGTGTAACATGGGAAAATGCCAGAATATGTGAAATAATCCTCTAGTGGAACTAGAACTTCTTCATCAATATTAAGGATTTACTTAAAACAAGCTCCTATATCTTTCTCGTATATCTCCTATATCTAAGCCGTTCAGTGATTTGAGAAGTTGGTGAACGTGTATTCGCTGACATTTTTGCAGTAATTAATGCGACTAATGATAAATGCATGGATGAGTGCATGGATGAGTTTCTCTAGCTGAGATTTTAGTCTTTCAATCAGAAAAGTTCTCCAGGTGATGGAGGGCACAGGATCTGCGTACCTTGAGCTGGATGCCTTGCTGCGCCACGGCTCTAAACGGGTTCGCCTGCCAGTAGATCTGCTCCACCTGCTTCCACATCACCACGTAGAAGCTGGAGCTGTCCTGGTAGCCGAAGATAAACCCGGCGTAGTCGTCGTCCGTTACTGTGTTTACATGAAACGTCCCTTCAAAATCCACGCCGCTGAACGCAGTGTAGCCTGGAGACATTTGTGAGAATGTTTAGAAAAGGATCTTCCAGACAAAATGACCCAAACCCATCCCTGCACTCTTTATACAAATGAAATGTTAAATCAACGGTGGGCATTGCTAACTGAAAAGCTAGTTGTGCTAACTCTAAAGCACAACTGAATGCTAAAGCACCAAATCCTTATTGCTTTAGCATAAGCTAAAGTTCACAAAACAACCACGTAAAATAGCACTTTAGGTTTTATCCAGAAATATAAATTTAGGGGAAGCTACACATAAATTTAGCTTCCCCTAAACAAATGGAATGGAAACATTAGGTTTGCTAGTAGCGCAATAGCAGATTAGCGGAAGTGTGCCCACCACTGAAGTTAATTATTACATCAAGTTTATGGTGTCTTTACTTGCCACTTTCATTGGGGAAAAAAAGATTTTCCAAATAATTTCTGTTCTTACCAACAGCCAAGCCAGGGTCACTGTTCATAGTCTGGACGATTTCTCTTCCCTGCACACAGAAAAATAAATTTTAGCTCCACAGATCGTTTGGTAAATAAGAAAGTAGTTGAAAAGCTCCCTGACCTGGTTCAGCACCACCCAGTTGGGGTCTATCTGTGCGTCTCCTTCCGGGTCCAGAACGACCGTCTGGTACTCCCTGAAGTCGGTAAGGGTGACTTCTGCATTTTCAGGACAGGCATCAATGGGATCGATGATGGTGTCGTTATCAAAATCCTTCTCACACACATCACCGACACCATCACCTGCAACAAGGAACAGAGAGGGTCCTGAGAAAAGAAAGTACACCCTCTTTCATTGATATTTATGATACAAAATGTAAAAGTGATGCTCTTAAAAGAATGTAAACTCTTTTCAGCAGCAGTAACTTTCAATCTTCCGCGCCAATGTGATGGAATATCGGCCCACTCTGCCTCAAATTTATGGACATCAATCCAAGCATAGCTTCCTTGAAGCTGCAGTATGTAACTGCTAGAAAAAAACAATTTTTTTTACATATTTGTTGGAACTGTCCCTATGTTGTAACGGCATAATTTAAGACAGATAATCAGAAAATAATCTAGCTTTTCTGAATTCTCCCAGTGCCAAGAAACAACCAATCAAAGGCAGGAGGTGGGGCTTAGTGATGACTCGCCCTATCGTCCCTCCTTCCTTGCTTTATACTACGCTGCAGCTAGCATAGCCTGTCATGAATGCTCAAGCTAGTTAGCATAGCCACCATTGACAGCATTAACATTGTCCCTGTTAACACGTTTAGCAGTGAGTGCATGAGATTGATGAATCCGGAGCGATGCATTTCATCCAACACCAATAGTAGCTCTGGGACTGTAGCTTCTTTATTAGCTTGCTAGTGAGATGCTAATTGATTTCAGAGTTTTCTTGCGCACCATCCAAGTCCTCCTGCAGAGGGTTGGGCACCAGACGGCAGTTATCAGGACCAGGCGGCAGCAGGTCAGGGATCCCATCATCATCGTCGTCGTCATCACACTCGTCCCCCTTTCCGTCTTTGTCTGTGTCCAGCTGAGAGCTGTTGATGACGGCGGGGCAGTTGTCCCGGGAGTCTTGGTGTCCGTCGCCATCACTGGAGACGAGTTAAAAATCTGAAACTCACACTGAAATACTCTGTCAGTTTATATGGTTGATGGTCACTTACCTGTCCTTGTTGGTGTCACATGGATCTCCAATCAAGTCATTGTCTGCGTCCATCTGAGAAACACGGCATGAGTTGTTAGTAAGGGTCTGTTGTGACAGCAACAGATGATCCATTGGTGGACAAACAGGTCTGGTTTTCTTTGGGGCTCTTGAAACTGCTGATCAGGTACCAGGAGGGAAGAAGAACCATGTCTTCTGAGACTGCAGCAGGAAAACCTTGGGATTCGGAAAAACTGTGGTGAAGGATTTTCATTTGCCGTTTGAAACTTTCCAATGGGTTCTGGAAACCCATTGGAAGGAATCCCACCAGGCTGTTTGGCTTGTTGGGAGACAACTCAGTATGATGATGTTGTCCATTGGAAACCTCGAGCCGGCTCTGAAGGTTCAGGTCAGAGTTCATCACTACAGCCAGATTTCAGTCTCTAGTTTCCAGCTGTAGTATTTGAAGCTGTGTGCACACATTATTCTAAAATGTTCACAGTGGTGCTGGTAAGAAGAGCTCTGTGGCACTAAAAGGCTTTTATTTATTTATTGTAGTACTGATGTCAGTTCAATGGGACAACTAAGTCTTTCCAAATCTGAGGATTTCCTGTTTTCCCAGATCCTTTTGTTTCATTTTTGTTTCATTGTTAGAACAGCACTCCACTGCATTTTCAGGTTGATGCTTTTGGACATCTGGCGTATGCAGCACAGTGTGTTGCATAATTAATAAGAGTAGTGAGCTATCTACCTGTCTGCGGCCCTGTAGGAGCCCATAACTACCCAACCATGACAGAAACACACTCCAGAAGTGGCAGAGTTTCATTTTAGAGTGCAGTTGATACGCAGGTCATGAAAACATGGAGGAAAAGCCGTTTTTCACCTGGTCTGGGTTGGGAACGTAGGGACAGCTGTCGCAGGCGTCTCCAACTTTGTCTTCATCTCTGTCTTTCTGGTCAACATTGGGAACCCTTTTGCAGTTGTCCATGACATTTATGATTCCTGGCAATTTTAATAATACCAGTAAATATGAAACAAAATGAAATTATAAGTTGACTGAATATTTATGACTTTTAGGTGCTTTTTGTAAAGTCACACAGTCAAAAGTATCAATAAATTGGGTTATTAGCCTGACTGAGGATCAGGAAGTAATTTTTCAAAGCCATATTTTCACCATTTTTAATCATTAATAAATGTCAATTTCAAATTAAATATCAGTTAACTTGCTTATTAAATATTTAATTTTCTAACTAAACATTTAGTTTGGACCTAAATATTCAAATTGGAAAAAAATATTTTGTTTGTAAACTAAATATTTATCTTGGGGCTAAATATTTATCTTCAACTAAACATTTAACTGTGAACTAAATTGTTAGCTTTCTATGTAAATATTTACAAAAAAAAACAAATTTTTTTTCACCGACACCATCACCTGCAACAAGGAACAGAGAGGGTCCTGAGAAAAGAAAGTACACCCTCTTTCATTGATATTTATGATACAAAATATTTTTTTCCAATTTGAATATTTAGGTCCAAACTAAATGTTTAGTTAGAAAATTAAATATTTAATTAATATTTAGCTCTTAGATTAGAGCTAAATATTAAAATTTTAGCTAAATATTTTGTTGGCCAGTTAAATATTTAGTTGCACAAATATTTATTGCACTGGCTATTTAGTTCCAAAAACTTATTTATCTTTGAGATAGCTAAATATTTAATTAGCTTTCTAATTAAATATTTAATTTGATGCCCAGACTTTCATAAATGAGCAACATGAATATGACTTTTTTTTATTGCTGTTATGTTTCTGAATCTGTAACTTTCCAAATGTCACCCAAACGAATTTCGGTTTCCATTTCTAAGTTTTAGATTTCTGTCATTGGAGGTGGAGATTCTTACCGTCTCCGTCCATATCTTCATCGCATTCATCACCAAGTGTGTCCAGATCCGTGTCTTTCTGGTCGTTGTTTTTCACCGCTCTGCAGTTGTCGCACGCATCTCCAAAGTCGTCCTCATCAATGTTTGTCTGATCAACGTTGGGCACCAGCTTGCAATTATCCTGCAGACGATAAAATTTAGTCTCTTTCTTACCAAACCAGTGGAAAACCTGAAGGCGTTTCTGCTTGTGTGTGAACCTGTGTGTTTGGGATCCCATCCCCATCTGCGTCGTCATCACAGGCGTCTCCAATCCCATCGTTGTCGGCGTCCTCCTGGCCGGAGTTTGGCACGGTGAGGCAGTTATCCTGCAAACACAAACTCTTGTTACAGTTTCTTGCACTAAACTAAACTAATATGGGAGGCATATTTACTGAAAAGTAGTGATCTTGGAAACTCACCTTGTTACAGGTTAGATCAGGACAGCTCAGCTTCTCGTCAGGGAAGCCATCGATGTCTGTGTCCGTTCCACACAGGTATCCGTTACCTGCCCGTCCCACTCCGCACTGTGAATTTTAGACATTATTTAGGAGCTTGTTTCATAAAATATCAGCCATCCAAAGTACAAGCTAGGCTGCGCCACCTGACATTCGATTGTCCCCTCTCGGTGGACGATGCACTCGGCGCTGGCGTGGCAGGGATTGGGCTGGCCGTTCCCACAGGCCCGCTCAGGCTTACAGCTGAGTCGTTGGTCCCCAACATAGCCGGGCTTACAGGGACCGCATCTGAACGAGCCCTAAGCACATTCAGAAACTTAAAAACCAAAGCGTCCAGTCCTCCTGAACGGGCTTCCCGTTCATCAGAGAAGGAAACAAAAATCTAACTAATTCTGTATGGAAACCTCCAGACAACAAATGCTTTAACAAAACGTGTTCACATCCCTGATAGTGAGACATGGAGTGCTATGGATGCTGTAACTTTTCACTATCTCTTCTAAATAAACATACATAGCCTTTAATTAATCTACTGAGTTGAGAGAAAAATAAACAAGGGTATTTATACGCTTGACAGTCCGGTAGATTTCAGTATTTTTTAACTGCTTTAATTGTATTTGAATGAAACAATGCAAATCAATGAACGTATAATATTTGTACAGCTGATTTAGCAAGACTCTAATTTCCATCCATAGTCACTAAAACAAATGCAGCATACAAAAATAACACTAAAACAATATAATAAATAGAAATAAGACATACAGAAATGATAACAAAAACTATGTTTGAGTTAAAGTAAACCTTAGATCCTCTCATTTAATGATCTACTTTGTATGTTTTGCAGGAAACTGATATGAAATGTCATTTCTACTCACAGGAGTGTTCAGACAGACAGAGTTTTCCACACAGCCACCATTGCTGGAACCTTCACACTCATCTATGTCTTTGCACACCTTGAGCAGAAAAACAGAAACATAGACAATTATGGTTTACATTCATAAATTTCACCCATGTGAACAACGCTGGAGGACAGAAACACGATTCACTCATAGCCGCGCCGCTGCGGTACAACGACTCGGTTAACTAAATGAAACCTGGAGATTTTATTAACTAGTTCAAAGGGAAAATTAGACGTGGAAAAATGACGCTTAAAAACCATTGAAGAAAGACTCAAAACTACTTGTATTCTTTCTTTTTTTTTCTTGTTCTCTGTGACGCTACAGTAGATCGGACTGGTTGCTATAGCAACTGACTAACACCAGCTCCACTAGTGTATCCGGATACAACACTAAAAAACATGGAAACATTTCCCACACAAAGAATTCAATATTCAGTCGGTTAGTTTTAACTAAAAAGTGATCATCTGAACAAAGTGGTGGCTAATTTACCTGATTATTGATTTTCTGTCAGAGTTGGTGTGTGGATCGCCTTTTAAAAATATTTTAACAGTACAGAAACTCACTGAATTGGGTATGAAAGCTGTGGCTCAGCTGATCCTGACCTGTTTGTTGGCTGTGGCGTAAGCGAGTCCAACCCCCTGGACCTGAGGTCCGGTGTATCCGGCAGGACAGGAACCGCAGCGGAAACCAGGGGAGGTGTTGATGCAGCGGACCCCCATGTGGCACGGCATCACCTTACACTGGAAACGGCACAGATAAAGAAGCACAACACTCAAGGCACAGGAAGAAGATAAGACGATGCTTGGTTTTGGTCTCTTTCCTCAATATTCATGTATTCTGATACTTTAACCTCTTTTGAGCTTCATCCATTCATCCCTCTATTTGGGCATCCAGCCGTTCGTTTGTCCATATGTCCATCAGTTTGACAATCTGTCCACCAATTTAACTGTCCATGCAAAGGCTGGGCAATAAATCAATTACAATGTATATTGCAATAGACATGTGATCAATATCCATAGATGATATGTCTGCAGGGTCAACTAACTCACTCACTCACTCTTGGTTACCTAGCAACCACCTGTTGGGTAACTGGTGCAGCAGCAGTTTCAGGATTCTCCACTGCACCTCATAGCTGCTTAAAAATCAAAAGCAACGGCGTCGAGCGAAAACTGGATAACAGAAAATGTTACGCCTCCAGTTTGGCAGCTTCTCAGACATTTGAAACAGAAAACAAATCGATAATTATCGACATCTGCTGTAGGGAATACTTTTATCTTTACATGTTTTCCAGCCATGTTGTAAAGGCCTAATCCAACCATCCTCTTCTCCATTAGTGAGCAATAAAAACAATGTATTTTCCTAATCTTTAGGAGCTTTACCTCGTCCACGTCCGTGCAGCGCGTCCCGTTGCCCTCCATGCCATCAGGACAGGCTCCACACTGCGGGCCCTCAGGGGACTCTGAGCACTTCACACCGGGATGGCAGGGGTTGGGCTCACAGGGAGAGACGGGCTGGATGCCCCCCATTCCTGGGAGAGACGCCATGATGTAAACATTACTGGTGGGAGGGGAGCCCAACATGTAACCAACCAACCAAACATCCAACCAACAGCTGTCCGTCCATTCATCTTTTCTTTCCATTCTTTCTTCCATTTATCAAATTATGTGCAAACATGTTGACTCTAATCTGAAAGTTGAATATTTTAATATAAACATCCTTATTAATTAATTTGACTAACTCACCACAGGCTTCACACTCCATGACTGTATTCTTTAGGAACACTATTTCTCTGACCTGTAATAAACAACGAATCGGCTGATTAAATAAACATCAGCTGCTCCTTTAATGGAAACAACAGACCCAGTTTATCTACGGAACTAATTTGGAGCCATAAAGTTTGTTCAAAAGACTTTGAACTTTGTTCAAAACTGGAAAAAAAACAACACTTGAATCTGAAAAGTTGTTTTGAACATTTCATATAATTTTCAGTTTCAAATATTTTATTTTCATTTTATTTGACAGTTTCAAAACTTTTTTCAGTTTTAATTATTTTCTTTTGAACAAACTTTTTGGCCCTAATTTAGCTCCAGACCAATTCAGTGTTAATGAACCCACCCTCAGTCATCAACAGTAAATCAGTTTCTGGACAGTGAATGAGGTTTACCTGTTGCTTCAGCAGCTCTTTAATCTCGGCCAAAGCGAGGTTTGTCATTTTAATCTGACTGATAATTTCTCCATCTGGTACAGACAGAAAACACATCAGCTGGAGTCCACAAACAAATTAACATCCCTTCAGTTAAACATAGTTATGACAGCAAACTGGGGTAATTGTGGGTAGAAAAAAGGACATTTCTACCAAAACACTGAAGTTTTGAGATTAATCTCAGAAATGTCCTGAAAAAAAAAAAAAAAAAAAAAAAAAAATATATATATATATATATATATATATATATATATTTTAGTGAAGTATCGGTGTTCGTTGTGTATTTTTTATCCATCTTTTTTTTTTTTGAGGACCAAACTCCAAATCCAGTGTACTTTACTGTGTGTAGTGCATCATTGTGGCATATTGTGTTAAAATTTCCGATCTATGCATTTTTAAAATGCATAGATCGGAAAAAAATATATATATATTTTTTTCTTGCAAAGTTTTGAGTTTTCAAGCTGAGAAATTAAGTAGTAAACAGAAAATGTTAATAATAAAAAGAAAATAGAAACAACAATTAAACAAAAATAAATCTGAAATACAAAAAACTAAATTTAAATCAACAATCAAGACAAAAAACTGAAACTAAAAGTCTAATCATCAGTTTGTTCCAAATCTCAATTTATTGGACAGTAAAACATGTTTTTTTAAATCTCTGCCGTTACAAAGTGACTTTTTGTATCTTTGGTTCCTAGAAATATCTCTGGCTCTGCCGGCTGGACAGGCTGACGTCCCGCTGAGCAAACAGGAACCCGAGAGGGCGGATTTTACCTTCTGAGGCATCAACTGTGTCAACATCACGGCTCTCTGTTAACAAATGGAGGAGCATCTGAAAACGGCCAGTTTTTTTCAGATTTACTGCCTCTGCGGTCCCGGCTGTGTACGTTTCTCCTGGTGTTAACAGTCAGGAAGCTCTGCTTGACAGATTAACTCTGGTCGCTTGAGAATTCAGTCATGTAAGCCTGAAATTTCTCAGGCAGCGTCTGTTCAGTCCTATACAAACATCAAAACGGCTTACAAAGCAGCTCTGGGCAAACATTTCACATTTCTGTTACGCTTCGTTTTCTCAAGCCAAACTTCACTGGGATCTAATCAGGAGGACTTTATATCAAATCAGCCTGGCCTTTAACAAATGGAAAATATGTTTTCTCAGAATAGTTTGCTAACATTCAAGGTAATAATATGGCGAAATAGTTAAAACTCTCACTTTTATACAGCTTTGCTTAGAAAACTGCATTTTTGTGGCGTTTGTCAGATTATGAGTGAAACTGATGTGAGTGGATATTCCTATGTAAACAGACAGTTTGCGGTTTTGAGCGTTTATATCTCTCACACGCTAAATTAACGTCCGATGTTTCTGCCCCTCTCTACGGAATCCAAAGAATGCCAACACTGCAAAGTACGTTGTTAACACACAAGAAACAGCGAACTGTAACTGAACCACCCAACCAAAAAAATGACAGATTGTTTTCATCCAATCAGATCACAACCAGGTTAAAATACTTCAGGAAGTGACAGAAGTTACAAAAAAACCCAAATTCTCCTTGAATTATGTTTGCCTACATCCCTTAAGTTTTTTAAATGTTTGATTCTCCACTGATTACAAAAGTCACCAGAAATGTGCAAAATGTTAAAAACAACGGAGGATTTTTAAATTGAAAACATTTTGAGTTCACTTTCCGGTTTTTCTTTTTCAAATAGACACTTTGTTAGTCTGGGTCTAACAATCTGTAGAGGTTTTAAAACATGATTTTAAAGCCCACAGTTCTTTTTTTTTTTTTTAAACAGCTCATTCATCCACTGAAGTCTGAAATGTTTTGTCTCCGGCTCCAAAAATGATTTTCCAGATATGGAGAAGATAGAAGACTTTCTGGAAATCGCATTTTCCAGCCAAGCCGCAGATGCAGGAATGAAAAGCAGTGGGAGTCCGAAAGTTTGAACAAGCTGTGGTTCTGTGGTAGAAAGACTCTGGTTTTTCATGTGTCCTGGTTTATTCTAAATGAAACTGCTAAACAGGAGACATTAAAGTTCATGTTTCAGTTTGCAGCAATGTTTTTGTTTCCGAAAATATTTTTTATGACTGCCAACAAATCTAAGGCCTTTTTTTTCTTTATTGATAACCCAGTAGCTTACAGTAGCACTTAGTGAAATAAAAGGTATAATAAATATGTGAAACATTAAAATACAGAAGATTTTTACGTTGAAAACAGTACCATTAAAACTGACCATTTATTACAATGAACAAATTTGAAACTCTTCTTAAAAAGTGTTTAATTGAAAAGTGTAAATGCTATTTTGTATAATCTTAATTGGATTTTGTGACATTTTATTGAAAAATTCTATTTTATATTAAGTGTAATTAATTACAGTGCATGTAATATAATAAGTTAGTTATTTTTTGTATATTGCATCTCGGTTTCACTCTCGGCCTCAATATTCTGCTAACGTTAAAAAAAAAATGCAATTGCGAAATAAGAAATTGCAAAATAAGTCATTAAAACGCATGATTTGAATCCTCCTCCTGCCACGTCCTGTTGTCTCCTTCATCGTCTCCAGCAGAAGTAACATCCGGTTGTTGATCATGTGAATTGTGATTCAAAAGAGTCTTTACAATTTAGATACTCCTAAAAAAAAACTTCATCCCAGCGCAAGATAACACTTATCAAGAAATATTTTTTCAAAATTGCCGCGTTTCAATTGAGCTAATTTATTTAATGCGCTGCGTTGTGGCGAACGCTGACAGAGGTATTGCTTGATGAGTGCAGCGGTTGTTGCATCCCGTGTTTAGCGTTTCTCCTGCCTGACCAGCAGATGATCGGGATGAAAGCTGGACCCTCATGAGAGCGAAGAACAGGAAACATGTTCCTCTCATCAGCAGCGGCTCGGTTTGGATCCCACAGCAGAAAGAGACGCGAGTAAATCACTGTTTCTTTAAAAAACGGGCAAAACCTGGAGCCTCAGTAATTATTTCCAGATCATTATTGAGAGAATTTGAAACTTTCAGGAAATACCCACATGCTATAGTCTTCATCACAACGGATTTTTACATGATAATAATGCAACACTTTAAATAAAACATGAAGATTTAGCTTATTTATTTAGCTTTGTCAAAGTTTGTTGACTTTTAATTCACTTATTGTTTTAAAAACAATAAGCAACAAACTGAATATTAAGCATGAAGCAGGATGGGTTTACCCCTCTGTCCCGTTACCAGGTTTCCTCCCAGGCAGAGGACGCAGGTCAGCGCTACGAACCGCAGCATGATGGGAGCAGCTTCGCCTTCGCTCTCCTGCCCTGGACTCAGCGCTCCTCCTGCCAGCCTGACTTTATGTCCCTCCCCTGTTCTCTGGCCCCTTCCCCTAAAGCTGCTGATCTAAACCTCCAGCTCTTCCTCTAAAGCTCCTGATCTAAACCTCCAGCCCTTCCTCTAAAGCTCCTGATCTAAACCTCCAGCCCTTCCTCTAAAGCTCCTGATTTAAACCTCCAGCCCTTCCTCTAAAGCTCCAGGAGATGGAGCGAAAAGAACTGATTCTGCATAACACACAAGTAAATAAGGTTACAATGACGCGGTTTGACTGATTAAACTTTACGGACAAAAATAACATTTAAATGTTACAGTTTTGTAGACAGTGATAAAAAGCTAAATGAGTCAACAAATAAGAAGGTCTAGTTTACACAAAGACTTTTTTATGCTGATTTTTGTCCCGATTTTACCCTTTTGTATTAAATCCATAACCCAAATACAGACTGGGAAAATACCAGTTTCCCCAGTCTAAGGGTGTTTTCACACCTGAGAGTCTGGCAGACTTGGTTTGATTGGGACCAAAACTTAATTTTAGCAGTTGGAGGATTTCTTTTCTCTTTAGCTGGAGAGAAAAGAGAAATCTTGTTTAGTCCGCTCTAATCCAGCTCCAGTCCGTCTGCGCAGAAAAGTCCGGTTTGTTTGGGAGGTGTGAATGCTAATCGAACTCTAAAGTGAACTCTGGTGCGCCAACAAACCTCGGTCTTGGTTTGGTTGAAGTCAACCTTAGTGTGGTTTCAATCTGAATACAAGAAACCTGAGACTGTTCCAAAGCAGGAAGTTGACTACAGTGCATGGCATTCTGGGTAAATAAAAACTAAGACGCTAGCCTTGTGCTAGAGTCAGAAATGGCTGATCTTTTACCAATGACAAGAGAGAAATCCTACAAACGCCATTTTTGCTTACATTTCATGAAGAAGGAAGTTGCACTCGGAGGTTTTTGTGTTCTTTCATTCAGTGGATCTTGGTGTAGCGCCCCCACAGGCGAGGAGGGGAACAGGTTTCTTATTTGCTTTGGTTGGTTTGACACAAGAGAATCACATCAATTTAACAAATGTTGCAACTTTGGTCCCAAATTGTACCGAATCTCCCGGACTACCCAGACTACCTGGTGTGAAAACAACTTTAAAATTTGCTTTTTTGGCTGATAACACATTCACATCTCCCCCAACGAACCAGACTTATAGGCAAACAAACTACAGTTGGATTAAAGTGACTGAATGAATGCATACTGAGACAATGAATGGTTTTCAATAACTGCAGAACAGACAACCGCTGTAATTACCAAAAATCTTTGAGTTAGTAAGGAGTCAATCAAAGATGGAGAATCTCCAAAAGTTAAACCTCTGGCTGAAAATTCAAAATGTTACACTGACACATATTAACCAGCTAGTAATAGTCATTTTCTCCCTCGCAAACAGAAAACACCATAACACAATATTTCTCTTGATTTCATTTATTCATAGAAATTTGGTTTCATCTCAGAAAACGGGAAGGATGTTAACTTCTGTAACACCTTTAATTTCTGATGGAGAGTTGAATAAATTTGTCCTTTTTTGTTTTTCTGAATAACAAAAGTTGACCAATTTTATGGAGCTAAAATGGGTCCGTAAAGTTTAGTTAAAAAGAAAAATAATTGAAACTGAAATGATTTTGAAAATAAAACTTTGAAACTGAAGATCAATGAAAATGAAAAAACTATTTGAAATTGGAAAATAAATTGAAACTGAAAACAAAGATTTCAAAGTAAAACGAAGCTGAAGAATCAAATCTATTTTTCATATTCAATGTTTTTGAGTTTCAGTTTAAAAAAAATTTTTGGTTTAAATATATTTTTTGGTTTCAAGCCTTTTTTCCAGTTCATTATTCTTTTGAACAAACTTCATGGCCCAAATTTTGCTCCATTATTCTCAGGAACAAAAATATTGATACGGCGCCGTGGCCTTGTCGCCTTGCGGCCCCTGAACCGCCGCCGCTCACCGAGCAGCGCTGGGCCGAGATGCAGATTCTCCCAGACTCTTGAATGATCGGGTTTCGGATGTCCAGGTTTGGCTGCTGTGTGAAACGTTTGCCTTGGTATTTACAGTCCTCCAGCTTTGTAAAATGCAAAAAGCACCATGTTGCTCCAATAAAAAGGGTTTCGTCCGGGGACAGATCGAACTGCTCTTGTCCTTATGGAAGTCGGACGGCATCAAGTCCGATGCAGTTTCACCAGAGCGACGTCTTACTCGGCTTTCTTGGCCTTCCTCTTGCGAGCGCCTTCGCTCAGCTCCTCTTTGCTTTTGAGCGGTGAAGACGGCGCGGCGCCGGCGGGAGGATGATGGTTGTCCTCCTCGCCGCCGCCCAGAGGAGAGCCGAACAGCAGGTGGCAGGTCCAGGACTCGACGAGGCTGAAGGGGGATCCGTGAGAGTGGCGGGCCGTCATCACCACCTGGAGACGAGAACGGCCAGAAACCTCAGTTTCATCTGAACTCGGCCTTCAGTTCAGAGTCAAACTGCACAGCAGCTTCCTGCTACTTATCACACAGCGTTCATCTGATCACCCATTCACTCAATTACACTTGAATAACTTGTTAAAAATATACTTTTTTACTACGCTGTACTTTTTACTTTACTTCATTTTATTATGAAGTATTTTGACTCTTACTTGAGTAAAATTTCTGCATTTGGCCCACGGAGTGAAAAACATGTTTTAACCAAACATTCACCACAGTCAGACACACACCTGCAGTTTCTGTTAAATTAATTTTTTATTGATAGAAACTGATTTGAAAATATTTTCTTTTGCCTGCTTTTCGTCATCTTTGCTCATTTATATAAATTATTGTCATTTTGGTCCATAAAATACAAAAATTTCCACTATATTTTGATCAATCTGATGATGTAATTTTAAATATTAAATGATTGATAATTTGATCAGTTACTCAGTACTTCAATAGACTTTTTACCAAATAATTTTTTCCTCTTATTGAGTAATTTCTTTTCACTTTTCCTTGAGTGAAAGTTTGTTGAAGTCGTGCTGCTCTTACTAGAAAATAATCTTTGGCTACTCTACGCGCCTCTGGCCGTACATGACACGATGCCCAGTGAGGGTTTTACCTTCGTCGTGGCCATGAAGAGGGTGAAGATGAGGATGAGGACGCTCTTGGACACAGGCAGCCAGTGGGACTCTTGCAGGGTGAACAGAATCGCTCCGTACAAGCTGGCTTTAGTCGGGCTGCCGAGAGCAAAGAAAAGCTGTGATGCACCTGAGAAAGTGTTTCATCAACCTACAAAAATTTAAAGGTGAATTATTATTATATCTCCTTGAACAATCATACAATCGTACAAATTTGAAAAGCAGAAGTGGAGCCTCCTGCACAACCAACAAGGACGCAGCAAATGGTTTCTGGCAAGGTTCGAATAGTTTTTGGTTTTCCAAATTGAGTTAGTTTAGCATTTGCCAGTTTGTACAACTTAGTTAAATATTTAGTTTTTATTACTTTATAGTAGTAGTTTTAGTTTTTTCATACTTTGGTTCAACATTAAAAAGGCAGCAGAAGTTTTCACACTCTCCTCTTACAATGACATGTTGAGGATCTCGTTGGTGTCGGGCCTCCACACGCCGCGCAGCAGCTGCTCAAAATTGGAAATAAGAGCCACTCCAGAACCTGAAAGGATAAAAATAGCAGGAAAAAAATGAGAACAAGAGAGAAAAGGTCTGTTGTCCTCATCAGACGGATGAATAAATACTTAACACTTCTTGTTATTGACAAGAAGGAAAGGGCAGACGAGCATAAAAGGTAAAAATCACAATAAATGTATAATTTTTGTTTTTCTGCTTTCATATGAAACTAACTGGAAAATATGAAAATGGTGAATTTGGTCAGAGAAGTGAAGAACTTCAGATTTGGACCCGTTATTGAAACTCATCACAGTCTGATGTTTCCAAGGAATTTCCACACACAGCAAATAAAAACATGTCATTTGAAAAATAATAATAGAGCAATAAAAATCAATAGTTTTTACCAGAAATCTGAAAAATGTTAATTTCAAAAGTTACGTTTAATTTGCCATGTTTCAACAGTAAATAACATTTTCCAAAGTTTGGCTTAATTACAGTTTAAATATCAAACACTTTTAAAAGACTTTATAAAGAAATTAAGCACTTTCCTAATTGAAATTTAAGCATTTTATTTGCATTAAAGTACCTACTAAAAATGTACTCTTTAAAATATTTAAATTATGACCTGATCCTGTTTTAATCTGGATTAGAAGAGCTGCTAAAATGTAATTTAAACACCGTATGATCTGTTAGATTGCTGTTGGCCGACCTTTGACGTATCCAACGATCACCATGATGAAGTATCCGTGGTGGTAGGCGTGGTGGGCGTGGTGGACGCCAGCGGCGATCTTACGGGTGCGGACGACCTCCTTCAGAGCCACCAACACCAGCTTGACCGGCAGGAAGGCCACGCACTTATAGAAGAGGTTCAGGGGGCAGTAAAAGATGAGGTACCTGTCCAGGTTTAACACAGGAGAGTCATCAACGGCACCAACACTGAAAAAACAAAATAGTACCAAGTAGTTCTGGTGGAGTTTCTGGAGCAAATATCTTGGTTCACTTTAAATAAGACCAAACTGGGCAGGTTGTTTCTCTTCCCATGTTATAAGTGAAATAATCTGCCACTTATAGAACATTTCTATCAATATTAAGTAATTATTGACTTACAAGCTTCTCTGCTGAAAAGTTACTTACAACTCAGTTTTGTTTTATTTTACGCGTACCAAGATATTTACACAAAAACGAAGCCAAAAATACTCTGTAAGATTTTGTTCTGTTTCAAACAGCGTTGTGTCAAACAAACTGAACTCGTTGAAATAGCTGTTCCCCTCCTTGCCTGAGGGGGCGCTGCAACAAGAACCACTGAAGGAAACGACTTGAAAACCTCAAAATAAAACTGTTTCAGTGGTTGGAGAATTTTTCCTTTGTCTTTGGTGAAAGAACACAAGTCATTTCTCCCAGTAGCACTAGATTATCGCTAGGTTTGTTTCGGTTGTTTTTACCCAGAATGCCTTGCGTTGAGAATAACTTCTTTCATCACAAAATGTGAACAAAAATACAGTGGCATCAGATTTTATTTGTTGTAGTATTTCTCTTTTGTCCATAATCCATTTCTCCTGCCAGAGCGAGACTAGCATTTCTGTTTTGCATTCACACTGCATCAGAGTTCACGTCAACCAAACTGATACTTTATGCAGATGAGAATTCACTTTTTGGTCCAAATCGGAGAATCGGACTGCAGTTCAAATTCAGCGGCTGGTGTGAACGCACCCTTAAAATCCAGAATATTAACTGGTCCATCTTGTGTCATCTATCATCTGAAGAGTGTGAGTATGCTCTCACCAGACGGCTGAGGCCAGCAGGATGTGGCTGTTGTATTGGAAATAGTCGAGTGGGCTGCTCCCGAGCATGATGTCTGCCAGGATGTAACTACCGAAACAGTAGAGCATGGCGCAGAGCCAGGAGGCCACAGGGCTCCGGCGGGAAACCTCAACCGAGCCTGCAGAGGAAAAACATGTCCAAATGCTTCACAACACTGGGAAAAAACATGAAACAGGGTTTTAAACCTCATTTAATTCATTTTAACTGAGAAAGCAAATAAATGGAGGGAGAAAAGTGCAGGGATATAAAAGGCTTTACTTTGGTGACTCCTAGTGGTGACATGACGACATGACAGCCCAAAGTCCAAACCGGTTCAATCCAGAGGTTCCTAAACTTCACAAGTTGTTCATTTGACCTCCGGAAAATATATATCATCATGTCACTCTGTATTTAGTTTCTCACTTATTACACACACAGTGATATAATCACATGCATTTTTAAAATTATTTTTAAAAATTACATTGTAAAGCTTAATTTGATTATTTAAAACTTTTTTAATTTGTTGTGCATTTACATTGAGTTGTCTAACGACAGTCATTCATTTGGTGTTTTTATATTTTGGTCCTCGATAAACATCATGATGAAAATAATGATCATATTTGACCCACACACTTGGTGTCCTGCGCCCTCTCAGGTTACCCAAACCCCACTTTGAGAACCGCTCGTTAAATATAAATAGCATTCAGTCTTAATAATTACATATTAATAACTCAGTAATTAGTTCCTTTTTCTGCAAGTTTTACAATCAAATATAAAGACAGCTTGTGTTTACAAATTATTTTTATTTAAAATTGCAGTAAAAGGTTTATAATTATGAAGTTCTTGTCAGCATCCAACGGCCATATTGTTACTAAAAACAGTGAAATCATATTATCAGTGGTTTCCTCCTGTGGGGCGTATCGTTGTCTACACCCAGCCTTGTGTTTCACGTCACGCCCTGATAAAGCAGCTCATGATCCTGGAGTAAAGTTTCCTTCAACTGAGTAAAAATACAGAATTACAGCCAAAAACTATGAAAACATATGGAAAACATGCAATAAAATAAATCTGAACTATCCTCTGCAAGAAACGTTTGGTCGGATTTAACTTCAGTCAGTGAGGAAAAAATGTTTAAGGTGCAGAACTAAAATAGTTTTTTTTTCTTACTTTTCTGATCTTTGAAGTTTTTAAATCTTACAAGACAGAAACACAAAATCTTTTTATACACAAAAGATTAACTTAAAAATAATATTTCAGCAAAATATTGGCGGTTGTTTTCAATCAACAGTTCCTTAATATGAATAAAAAGTACCGGCAGATTTAAAACAAAGCTAAAGCATCATGTAGTTTTTTTATTTAACTTGTATTCTTTGTTGCAGTATATTTTGTTTGTTTGTTTTTGTCATATTCCAGCCATTTTACCTCCGTTTGTTTTTATAGTGATGCTGTTTCAGCACCAAGAAGATATAAAAAGTTTTCACTCGTATGGAAAAAATGATTTCCAAAGTGTTTCCTGGTGTGGCTCATAAAAACTAAGCAATGCGGAACAAAAGCAGGTTTATACAAGGCAACAAAAGGCAAAGTAAAACATGCCAAATTCATATCTAACACAAAAACATAACTTTGCTTCTGGAGTAAAAGATTTTGAAAAAGTAAAAACTTTCTTTGTTCCTGACGTTCAGATTATTATTACATTTGATTGAATTTTTCAATTGTTTATAATGTAATAATTACAAAGTTACCAAAAGTGTGACGTCACATGAGACCTTTAATATATTGATAAAATCCATGAACAAACTGTTAAAATATTAATAACTGTGACTTGAAGTTAAATAAAACATCTTTTCATATCAGCTCCTCCAGGGTTTTGTGATTGTTTTTATTTCTTTTGCAGTCAAAATTGTTGACTTTGTCATAGTAATCATAAATAATTGCCAGAAATATTGCGATATTTACTTTTTATATTGCTTATGTGGAAGCTGGAAGCAAATGGGGCCACAAAAATGTGATTTTTTTTTTTTAATACCAGTTTTAAAACACACTTTCGGTACTTTTTATTAATATTTACTGAACAATTCAAATTTAATTAAAATGAACAAAATAGTTTATGTTGAAAACAGATTGTCTATAATTTTTGGATTGATTGTTTTGCTTTTGAGAAAAATGTTGGTCCAAAATTAACAAGGATGCAAAAAATCTTGTTAATAAAGGGGAAAATATTTTGTGTACCTAATATTTTTTTAAGTTGTTGAAAAATGGTTCACCTGCGTCAACCACCTATGCTTGCAGACCAGATTAGCAGATCATTTGGGCCGCCAAAAACCCTCCAGAGGGCCGCAAATGGCCCCTGAGCCACACTTTGGACACCCCTGATATACCAAATAATGTTATTGTGGAAAATAATATCAGACAGACAAATGTTTATTGGAAATTGCACCATGGTTTGAATTAAACCTGGATGAACATCTTAATGAGATAACTTTCTAACTACAGTAATAACAGTATAATAATTATAGATTTGTTGGAGCGCCGACATTAAAGCTGAGCTGCAGGAGCAAATCTCCAGCAACAGGTGGGTGGGGGGTTCATGGTCCGACTGGTGCTTAGCGCAAGAGCAATCTGATCTCTGAAAATGCTGCCCTGCCTATAAATACATGCAGCTAAGGGCGAAAATCCATCTTATTATTGGGGGAGACCAGAAACAGGGACTATTTCTGGATTGGTCAGCAAAGTAAAATGTGGTTTCAATTTTTCTCTGTCTTCAAGCTGCACCATCAAAAATGACGAGTAACTAACAATGAATAACTAAAGTGTTTTTTCAGTAAACAACCTGTTGAGACCCACAGAAGTGAAACGAGACTTCCTCGCCACTGTCGGGCCTGACCTCTGACCCCACGGTCTTCTCTTCCTTCAGCCTGAAAGGCTCATTCATGATCTGGGTTGGCAGCAGAAGAAATTTGACTGTCAAATTATTGGTATGAAAATGAGCTAATGTTCAGGACGGAAAACAGCCGCATGCTGGAGTTGAACCTACAACTCAATAAAAACTCTTTAAATGACCAACATTCACTCTGTTTTCTGACATTTCACTGCATTTCTTTCCTTATAATATGTCAAAGTGAAACCTACAGGCAGCGAGCTGACAAATTTTAAATTAATTAATGAAACAGGAAAGGGTGTTAATTCACTGGAGTCACTTTGTTTTGGGGCTACGGTTAGCGGCTACATGTAGCATCTCTACAGGGCAGCTAACTCCAAAGATAGCTTCACTTTCAGGAAGATAACTGTCAGACGGGGAACTGCTAACTTTAAACTAGCTAAAAACTTTTTGTTTTAAGTCTAATTGTATAATTTTGCTACTCAGTTTGAACATTAATGTCTTTATTATTTTATGCCTCCTGGCTTGTTAAGGAGAGTTTATATTCTAGTTTTGTTTAAGATATTTATTGAAACTGTCACCATGTCCTGTTTGGTATGAGACAGATAATCTGTGGAAAGATTTGGCTCCTCTGGCTTCTCCCAGTGCAGGATAGAAACAGCCAATCAGAGTCAGGAGGTGGATCTTAACGCTGTCAATCACAACTTCCTTGCTGTCTGCTACTGCAGCTATCATAGCCTGTCATGAATGCTAAAGCTAGTTAGCATAGCAACCGAAGGCAGCAGACAAACTGTTTTCCTGTGATGATAAAATCTTTCTCTGCCATTAACACATTTAGCAGCTTGTAGACAGGTTTGATTGACAGCGCTAAGACCCGCCTCCTGACTGATTGGTTGGTTTTGGTGCATTTCTTCATACAGCAATAGCAACAGAAAAATTTTGCAGCTTATATTGATTATTTGGGGTTGTAAAAGGTTTGCAAAAATTCAAATGGACTGAAATTTTACCCCAGAAACGAAACCGAGTCATGAAACCAATTTAGTTCCCCACTGGACTAAACGATTACGCATCATGCTAATACATGCAAACTGAGCAAGCTGCTGGGAACAGAAGTTAAAGACAACTGCTCTGCATGTTTCATTAATGTAAAATGAAGCATAAATAAAGCAGACAATGTCATGACTTTCACTGCGATTAGTGGAGAGGAAACTGAGGCCTGAAAAAGTGCAACACTTCAGAGGCCACTGACTCCATCTATTTCAGGCTCTTCTATTTATTGCTGGCATGCACAGGCCTTGTCTTCTCTCAGGTTTCATCCTTCTGCAGGCTTTCTTGCTCAAATGAGCCGAATTATGGAGAAAACCAACCCGGTTTAAGTCAGTCTGACAGAGTTCAGCTGTAGAGCCACAGCTGCAGTTTATGTAACAGGCCAGGCTTTATAAGGAAAGCTTACAATGTAACCCTGGACCAAACTAACTGAGTGAATCATTTAAATGACTCCAAAATGCAGCATTCAGACACATTTCTGCAGCTGGACTGACTCTGCGTTTGATTGCTTATTACCAACACTCACCTGGCTCGTACTTCAGGTAGAGGATGGAAACGATGTAATAGGCGACATCAAACACCGGAAACATTCCCATTTTGGAAAAAGCCTGAGCAAAATCGCCCAAATTCAGAACCGCGAGCACGTTTTCCATGTTGCCAAGTGAAAAATCCCTTTTATCTCCGTGTTTTTGTTATTTCTCTGAATTCCGGCTGCGCAGTCTGGATGAGAAGCTCGCCGCGCCTCCACCAAGCCCCCCAGGCTCGAAAGTAACGCCTGCGACACTCAAGCGCTCCTATTAATACACCCGAACATCCACAGGCTCCACAGGCGCCGCATCTTCATCCTCCTTCACGCGCCTCCATCCCGCAGCTGCATCCCGCAGAGAGGCAAAACTGGGTCGTTTAAAGGGTTAAACCCGCGAGCATCATAACGAAACACCGACACACGTGGCCGAGCTGAACATGGACGAAGGCTTTATTCAGTGGGGAAAAAAATAATCTGAAAAAAAATCCCAGATCCGGATCAGGTGATTATCTTCTCACCATCATTAATGGATCCAGAATAATCCGACCGACGGTGTTTATGTGGTTCCGCAAGATGATAATCTAGTCAAAGACACAGAAACGGTAAAATAAAATTTATCCATTCCACTTGATATTATCTTAAAATACATTCATTTTGGTTGTTTATCCTGTTTTTTAAGGAAAAAGGAAATAGCAGTAATAGTTGTTCTCCACCAGAGGGCGACAAAACACTTCTTGTTTCTACCGAGGTCGAAAAGTGACTCAATTAAAGTGTAAATATATTGCATAGTTTGAAATACATATATTAATTTGATTAATTATAATGTTCCAATTCCATATTAAATAATTAAATTTCATAATATTTCAATAAAATTAGCATTTATTGTGTTAAATGTTAAAAGCATTTCTCAAAGCATTATTTGTCTTGTTTTATTTATTTATTCTTATATTAAGCAACTATTTTATTACGTATTTTTTCAGTTCTGTTATGTCAAAATACAAAAGTACTACAATTTGTTGATTATTACCTTTTCATATAATTGAACATAAGCACAATGAAAGCTTCTGTTTAACGCATCTTTCATGCGTTGTAACAATTTTTCCATTTTATCAGTAGCTGAAAACAGAAACATCCTAATAAAAGATTGTAAAATGTGAGAGAAAAAGTTCTAAAGCATTATTTTATTATACTGTTCAAATGATTTAGATATTGATTTTAAAGATGGGGTTTGATTCAGCTTGACAACATGTTAAGTCTAGTTTAGATGCTGACGTCATTCACAGCCCGTTCTTCTGTATTTTGTACCCTACAGCATGTCTTAAAGGGACAAGTTAACGTTTTTTGCTTTGTTTCATCTGGTTCTGTCTTTACACTGACAACAAATAATACTCAAATTACTCAAATCAGATTAGTAGAGGTATGCCTCGCGTTTTCTGGAACTGTTTGCGAATTGTAAAAGGCCTTCTGTGCCTTGCAGTCTAAATCCAGGGCACAAAAACCTATTGCCCGCCGGAATAGCTTTCTAAAATCTTATTGGTTACGTTTCCGCGTACGTCAAGAAACCAGGAAGTAAAGTGTTTCTGTGATGTGGAGAAAATGCTCGGGGATCTGTTGATATTCGGGTAACTTGTAAATGTTTTTACTTTTGGTTTAGAAATAAGAAAAGTTTCTACTGATTAATTTGTTTTGAGCGTGTTGCTGTTTCCCAGTTTAGCGGGAAAACATCGATGAACGTTGTGAAGCGTTACTGCCAGCACAGCAGCTAACGCTGGCCTTAGCTTTCTGGTTGACAACAACACTTCTGTGTCTTTCTGTTCTCTTTAGGACGCTGCTGGTGAATGCGGGAGCTGTGCTGAATTTCAAGCTGTGAGTATAGCCACCTCTTAAAGCTAATTTAACAAGCGGTTACCTTCAGACTAGCAGCTGATGGTTTGTTTGTTTTTTCTCAGAAAGAGGAAGGAGTCCCATGGATTTGCAGATGAATCCGGAGCTCCAACAACAGGTATGAATAAGAGAAAGTTAAGTTTTAACTAACTATGTCTATTTATTTTATAATCATTTCTGCATACATTCTAATAGGCGAAAACATCAGAGAGTTCCTCCTCAGCCTGCGGTACTTCCGGATCTTCATCGCTCTCTGGAACGTCTTCATGATGTTTTGCATGATTCTGTGAGTAATTATCTGTAATGCGAACCAGGAAATGGTAACAATATGCTTTCTGTATAATTCTTTACGTGTTGAAAGTGCAACAACAGGCATTCATGGTAAACATTTTAGGTGACTTCACAAAATTGGTCAACAAGGGGTTAACAACGTTTCCTACCTGATACTCTGCATTGCAGTGTTAGAATGAGGATTATGATTGTTTCCATATTTACACCATTTACATTCTGCTTTTGTAAATCTTTTTCAGACTCTTTGGATCGTGATTGGCTGAATTGCACATCCAGGATGTAAACGTTTCAGACAGATGCTACAAACTTCTCCATGACTGGACACGTTTGCCCCTTTTACCCTTTTAAAATCGCAATAATGTTTAAATTCCCCCAAATTTTACTGTGTTTCAGGCTCAGTCAGATAACACAAATCATATTTATTTTATTTCAAACAATGTACATGTTTTATTTTTAGCTTGAACTATAACGTCATCTGTCTACTTCAGATTCAAAATTCATATTAAAAATTCTCACCTTTATTAGGGACTTCACTTCTTGTTTATATTTGACAGACATGATATATTCCTAGTTTTATTCATCAGATATTCTGTGAGAAGTATCAGATTTAAACATCTTTCTTTAAAATCAGCTCATGTGACTTGTAAGAAGAAAATGCTGTATATACACTATATTGTAAAGGTCCTTATGATTAATAAAAATAACTATTCCTAGAGTTTTCAGATGTTATTTGACTCCCTTTATAAACCAAAAAGTGATCTATTGACTTTCTAAATACATTTAAAGGGAGACGATATCCAAACCTAAACCAGATTTTAGTTCCATTTGTTTAAACAAAATATAGCTTGTTTGTTTTTTAAAAAGAACTGAAAACAGGTAAGAGGGGTAATAAAATATGATACTTTATGGTAACAAACTAGACAAAATTAACATTTTGCATGTTTTTGTGCTTTGAGTCTCAACTGCTTCTGAAAACAATCCAAGAACTGAAAAAAATCATCCAGATGTTTTTTTTTCAGTGAGTTAAAAGTTTTTTGGTGTTTGATTTATTTAACCATTAAATTTGGGGGAATTAATTTACCATTTCAAAAACCTTGTAATTAAGTCACAATGCACAGTTACCTAGCAACCCCAGCAGAGTTCCAGCATGTTTGGTCAGCTGGTTTTACTGCTGTATGCGCTGTTGGTGTTTTGTGAAACAAAAACACAAACACTTCAATCAGAAACAGCTTTATAATTATTTTAAATTATCCTGGATGCTGAGAAACACACAAAGCAACAGAAATAGTGTATTAAATTTCTATACAAGCATTTTGACAAACAATGCAATAATCGGTTTCTATTTCTCAGTCTGGGTGTTGATATGTTGCTTTTACCAGAAAATATGTCCGGCTTAGTTTATTCACTGGGGACAGTTTGGTTTTATATATATATAGTTTGAGTTTGTTTTTACTGTAACTGATTAGTTTGATTTGTTTACATCACAGTTTGTTTGTTTGTAAGAGCCGGACAGAAAATCTGTCCTTTTCTGTCCAGCAAAGCTTAAAATAACAAAACTTGTAGAAAACGCATCGTTTTTCTGAACCAAGTGAGGCGTCTGTTCCCATGTGGATCTCTGTCAGAGCTGGACGCTGTTATAGTTTGAAACTCCTCAGTTTTTTGTTCTTGTTCTGGATAGTTTGTTGAAGTGCAGAGTTAGTTTGAAACGTTTCAGTGATCCATGTTTGGATTGTCGTTGTCGTAAACATCTATATTTAAAAAAGGCAACAGGATGAATAAATTAGTCATAGATTTGAATTTTGTTGCTAAAATTTAATACAAAATCTGGAAATATTAGGAAAAAAACTGCAAGCTCACCGTCAGGATAATCCACATCATCATAAATGTCTCCTTCCCTGAAGAAAAACAATTATTCAGCAACGTTAGTTTTTAAATCATTCAAACTATTTTGTCATTATTAAATTAAACGGAAACATCAGCAATAAATTTATGCTGGAGTTGGAAAATCTCCAGCTCACTTCCCTGAACTTTATAACTTTGTAACTTTATAACTTTGTAACTTTATAACTTTATAACTTTGTAACTTTGTAACTTTGTAACTTTATAACTTTATAACTTTATAACTATAACTTTGTAACTTTATAACTTTGTAACTTTATAACTTTGTAACTTTATAACTTTATAACTTTGTAACTTTATAACTTTATAACTATAACTTTGTAACTTTATAACTTTATAACTTTGTAACTTTATAACTTTATAACTTTGTAACTTTGTAACTTTGTAACTTTATAACTTTATAACTTTGTAACTTTATAACTTTGTAACTTTATAACTTTGTAACTTTGTAACTTTGTAACTTTATAACTTTGTAACTTTGTAACTTTGTAACTTTATAACTTTATAACTTTATAACTTTGTAACTTTATAACTTTAACTTTATAACTTTATAACTTTGTAACTTTGTAACTTTGTAACTTTATAACTTTATAACTTTGTAACTTTAACTTTATAACTTTATAACTTTGTAACTTTAACTTTATAACTTTGTAACTTTATAACTTTATAACTTTGTAACTATAACTTTATAACTTTATAACTTTGTAACTTTATAACTTTATAACTTTGTAACTTTAACTTTATAACTTTTAACTTTGTAACTATAACTTTATAACTTTGTAACTTTATAACTTTATAACTTTGTAACTTTAACTTTATAACTTTATAACTTTGTAACTTTAACTTTATAACTTTGTAACTTTATAACTTTGTAACTATAACTTTATAACTTTGTAACTTTATAACTTTATAACTTTGTAACTTTAACTTTATAACTTTATAACTTTATAACTTTGTAACTTTGTAACTTTAACTTTATAACTTTATAACTTTATAACTTTGTAACTTTATAACTTTATAACTTTGTAACTATAACTTTATAACTTTGTAACTTTAACTTTATAACTTTGTAACTTTATAACTTTGTAACTATAACTTTATAACTTTGTAACTTTATAACTTTGTAACTTTGTAACTTTAACTTTATAACTTTATAACTTTGTAACTTTGTAACTTTGTAACTTATAACTTTATAACTTTGTAACTTTGTAACTTTATAACTTTATAACTTTGTAACTTTGTAACTTTATAACTTTGTAACTTTATAACTTTGTAACTTTATAACTTTATAACTTTGTAACTTTATAACTTTGTAACTTTATAACTTTAACTTTATAACTTTATAACTTTGTAACTTTATAACTTTATAACTTTATAACTTTGTAACTTTATAACTTTATAACTTTATAACTTTATAACTTTATAACTTTGTAACTTTGTAACTTTATAACTTTGTAACTTTATAACTTTGTAACTATAACTTTATAACTTTGTAACTTTATAACTTTGTAACTTTATAACTTTATAACTTTGTAACTTTATAACTTTATAACTTTATAACTTTGTAACTTTATAACTTTGTAATTTTGTAACTTTATAACTTTATAACTTTATAACTTTGTAACTTTATAACTTTATAACTTTATAACTTTGTAACTTTATAACTTTGTAACTTTGTAACTTTATAACTTTATAACTTTATAACTTTGTAACTTTATAACTTTATAACTTTGTAACTTTGTAACTTTGTAACTTTATAACTTTATAACTTTGTAAACTTTATAAATTTATACTTTAACTTTATAACTTTGTAACTTTATAACTTTGTAACTTTGTAACTTTATAACTTTGTAACTTTATAACTTTATAACTTTGTAACTTTATAACTTTGTAACTTTATAACTTTATAACTTTGTAACTTTAACTTTATAACTTTATAACTTTGTAACTTTATAACTTTGTAACTTTATAACTTTGTAACTTTATAACTTTATAACTTTGTAACTTTGTAACTTTATAACTTTGTAACTTTATAACTTTATAACTTTGTAACTTTATAACTTTGTAACTTTATAACTTTATAACTTTGTAACTTTAACTTTATAACTTTATAACTTTGTAACTTTATAACTTTGTAACTTTATAACTTTGTAACTTTATAACTTTGTAACTTTATAACTTTATAACTTTGTAACTTTATAACTGCTCCTGATTGGCAGTTGCTATGGAGTTGCCTTGACGACTCCATAGCAACAAGATGTCGCCTCCTTCCTAACTCATAAACAATATAATTACATGACAGATATCACTAGATTACATTTTGAGTACTCTGTCCACCTCTGTGCAGCACTGAGATTAGAACCAGGGATACTTTCTGTCTAACGAGCAAAATTAGCTGCGCTGAGGTAGCTTTAGCTGCTAGCTACGGTAGCATGTAGCCTACGTCTCAAACATAAGACGTTTCTTTAAAACATATCTAGACACTGAAAATAAATTCATTTTTGACAATAATTTAATTGATTTTTAAAAAAATAAATCACAAGCCATTATTTTTAAACCTAAGTAATTTTAAAACTGAACTTTATTTACACTAAAAGAAGCTGAGATTTACTCACATTGTGAGAAGAATAGATTTTGACACATATCCATCTGAAAAACAAGATAAAAAACAAATAAATGAACAACAGAACCAAATTCACCCTGCGCTCCGAGACAGCGTAATTATTGTGCTACTTATAAAATCCTCTCAAGTTAAAGGATATGACATTTGAACAGTGGTGAAATATTTACTGCAGCTTTTAATTCAGATTTTATCATGTGATGAACTTCTCTGATAGGTTGTCTCTCACTGTTCAAAACCAAACGGGGAAGTCGGACGGTTTGCGTACATTTTCCAAACTGGTTTCGACACAGAAACTTCTTGCCGTTTGTCTCCTCGATGACATCAACGACTTCTCCCTGAGTCACCTGCAGATCCTTCCCTCCCGGCTTCTTGATGACGCAGGTGGGGTCCACCATCATGGTGTGCAGAACCCGCACCGGCCCGTTAAACTGCGAGGAAACGGTCGCTTTTAGCAAGAAATAATCCAGACCAACACAAAGCCCAAAACAAAATCTACGAAAGTGAAGGAAAAATGTTTCACCTTGAATTTTTTTCGCAGCTCTTTTTCCTCTTTGGGGTTTATGCTGAAAGATAAATAATCAGAATTAATCAAAGTATCCCTGAGTTAGGGAGGGAAAATAAATCAATAAACAATCAATATGAACACAAAGTTTTCGTATGGCATCACATCTATGTGAACTTAGTAGCTGACAGCCATCTTGGTAGGCAGTTGCTATGACAACAATAAACAAGCTACAAGCTCTTCCCTCATTTCTAACTTATAAACAATAAAAATACAATAAGATCACAGTTATTGACCACAATACCTGCTTCTTTAAAATGCAGATAAATATCAGCGATATTTACTGTAGTACTTACTGCCAAACTAGCAGCATTAGTTTAGCTAATGTAGCTTTTAGCTGGACATGTAGCCGATGTGTTTGTTACTCTGCCAGCAGTGAAAACAAAAATCAAAGGGTTATAAAGTAATAAATTAGAGTTGTCAATGAATATGTGGTATATTGTCTTATCAAGTCCATAACACATTTACTTAATCTCATAAAAGATGTGATTATTATAAAAATAAAGGTCTTTTTTTTTGTCTGTGGGTCCACCAGAGGGCGCTACTAGCTAACAGTCCTCTGGGTACAACGTTCTACTAAATTATAATCTTTCAATTAAATTATAACAATTAGTATTCATTAAGAGAATTACAACATAGTGCAGGAAAATCGGTCAATTTATGACAATGAGTATTTTTATTAAAATAAATAAATATGTTATACTTTGTAGAATTTAAGAATAATCCAAAATAATTTCTTCTGCGTACAGAGGAATCGACGAACCCGCTCGCTTTCTGGTTACCTAGCAACAACCTGCTGGGCGAACAGCAGCTTCACGTCCTGCCCAGTTGGGTTGCCTAGCAACAGCATGTGGAGTAACTAGTGCTGCAACAGTTTTAGGTTTTGTCTCTAAACTGCACAAAAATAAAAAATAGTGGCGTGGAGTGGAAACTGGGCAAAGCAGGAAAGGTCATGTCTCCTCTTTGGTGGTATTTAAATCCAAAAACTAATCAATATTTATCAATATCACCTGATATGTTTACATGAAGTTGGTTAGACTGTTAAGATGCAGCAGGTCACCTGATCTCAGGTGGAGGAGGAGGGAAATCCTCAGGCAGCGGTTGAACGTCGTCATATTCGTCTAGGAGCAGAAAAATAATATAGCTTATTAGTTTAATTGTTAGTTTAATTTAATGAAAACAGTTCAAAAGCATCAACTTCTACACATTATATAGGATAGATCCTGGGAAAAAAGCCCAAATAAAATCCCTCTGATCGTTTATAAAACAAACAAATAATGAAATGTGAATTATGGGGAAAACATGAAAATCTGCAGCAATTTAAAGGGTTTATTGGAAACTAAATGAAGCTGCTGGATATGGATCATTGAATCACTGCAGAACTACTGAAACATTTTTCAAGTAAAGTTAAATTAACAAAACTCCAGATTGTCAGAATCCAGGAATTTTACTCAAGTAACAGTGAAAAATACAGCGCAGTAAAAATACTCCTGAAATCTAGTTTCAATGATTATTTGAATAAGTTTGGTGCAATGTTTACACCAGATGCTCTCTCTAGCAGAAATGTTTTGAATTGAATCATTTGAATCTGCTTCATCATCAGTATAATGTTTGTAGACTCTAACCAATGGGGTATTTTACTATTTAGGTGATGTTCCAGTTGAATGTATTTGAGGTTGACTTTCATATCATTATTATACCAAATAAGCCTTTTATGTATTATTTTTTGCAGTATACAGAGTTATACTGCAAAAAAAAGTTATTCTTCAAAAAAGCTACTCAAGCAAATGTAACTAGTTACGACCCGACTCTGGTGTTATGATGAAACTCACCATCATCTTCAAGAAAGCTACAAATGAAAGAGAAAACAGGTTGTTGTTAAAGCAGCAGCTGCAGCTTCACATGTGGATGTGCAGATAATCCGCCGGGTTACCTGTCTCTGCTGTTGGACTCCATGCTCGACATCATGGGCGGGTCCGGCGGCGGCGGCGGTAAATCAAACGTATCCGTTTTTCTCAGCGGTGGCATTCTGTACTTTTTAACTGCTTCATAGTCGATATCAACGCACGAGTTGCTGATGTATCCGTCTGGAAAAAAATCAAAAACAAGGAGGCGTTAGCGTGATAAATGAGATTTTTACACTGAGCGATGATCAGCATTCATCGAGAAGATTATTTTTGCTGTTTTTTTGGGAAATGCTTGATTTTATTTCTCAAAAACCTGTTGGAGAAAACGGATGGATGAAACATATTTCATAAATATTGTTTGCTGCAGAGTTATACTGCAAATTTCAGGAAAAAATTTAAATTTTTACTTCCCCTAATCACCTTGGCAAACATTTAAAAAATGAGACGTATTAATGTTCAGCAGTTTGGTGACTGCATGACACATTTTCCAGAGATTTAAGAACAATTTTAAATGGCAAATGTGACGTTTTAGAGCCATAAAACCAGTCAGTCTTTAACCAACAGGAAGTGACGACCATATAAGGATGAATTAAAATTTAGTCACATGCATACATCAAACAGAAGCATTGCCACATATTGACAACAATAAAATTGGAATAAATGAGGCATTTTGATTAATCTACACAGGAAATGTGATGATTTTGTCCTCACTCATAACTTACATTCTTTATATTTACAACATTTTTTTACGAATGGGTTTAACGATCAAATCTTGGATTTAACAGAAGTGACGAACCAAACCTGAAGGAAGACGATAAAATGTTTTGTATCCAACGACAAGTCCATGTAGGTTGAGCAGGAGTAAACAGCCAGAGAGGACTGCCACTGTTGTTTGTGAGCATAAAGTTTGTAAAGTAAGAAATGGTCAATGGTTCTGACTCTTTATTTGTTTGCTATTGATGCAAAACATCTGTTGGCGAAAGCAGATGGAGTTAAATTAATCTGAGTTCTGTCCAAAAGATCCTTCTGGATTGTTAGCCACAATGATTAGCATCATTTCTGCTCTACATTCTTAGTGTTTGGGCTGAATGAATAAATGCATTTGGCTTTACTTTCATTCAAACCAAACTGTGTTTAGTTTTTTCTTTGAGTAACTTTCTAGGGACAAACAACATGCTATTATTCTGGGTACGCCAGCAGCAGAGGGTCTGTTCAGGTTTTGCTGACACAAATAAAAAGCTGATCATGCTAGCAAAAAAATGCTAATTATTAACAGGTCTCACTTGGAAAAGGGATTCACAATCTCAGTGGTGACTTCCTCATGAAATAAAGGTAAAATAATTAAAAATATAAATACAATTGTCTATCCTGATGACACGTTTGTTCACAGAAAGGCAGTTTCATGACTGTTCGCACCATGGGAACAATGCTGGTCAGAACTGGAGCAGAAGTCACAACGTCTATGAAACTACTGCCACAATTTACCAGACTTTTTGTCAATGCTGCTATTTATCACAGCAGTGAATGACAGACAGACAGGGCTCTCAACAGAGCGCTTTTAAATCCCATTTCAAAATAATGTTCTCAGTGTTAAATCACCACACAAATCTTCACTTGAAGGTCTGGAACTCAAACTGGAGAATTTTCTATCATTACTTTTGTTTTAGGTTGTTTTCCAAATATAACTTCATCAATCTTTGGCAACTTTCCACTTTCTTATTGGCAACATTTGTAAGTAATGATGATATACACCATTTAAAAGCCTTAGAAGAAAAGCATAAAGAAATAATGGATCACTAGAGACTTTTGCTGCTGCAGACGCCAGTAACCACAGTAGCTCTTTGTTTGCCACCCTGTCTGAAACCAACACGTTCAAAGTCGACAGATGAAACCTATAAGTTGGTTAAGGTTCATTTCAGCTTTCTATCCTTGCTGCACTGCAGAAGGCAAACAAGCAGAGATGCAATTCAAAATTTTTATAGCCTACATATAGAGTTTAGTGTCATCTGCATACAAACAAACTGCTGTATTCTGTAGTCATTGTAAAGCAGTACAAAAACAAGAATAACACAAAATAATTCACAGAGTGGTAAAGAAAAACTGCAAAAGTAGCATTTCTCTGCTTCTCCTCATCAAACAAAGAGACTTGGATTGGAAAACTTTTAAACTTTTGGGGCTTTTTTTTTAACCAAGTTTCAGTCTGAGACTCACATTGTCCGCTGAGCGAACGGGCCAACCATTTGCCCCTGGGGTTATTCTCCACGCGAATAATCTCCACGCTGTCTCCCTGTCGAACGCTGAGGTCCAGCTTCCCTTCGGCCTGCCAGTCGTGCCGAACCCGGGCCGTATGCAGAACGCTCACCTCACCTTGTAGCTACAGAGGGAAGAGCGGAAAGAAAGCTGAGCGGATCCAAATTCTGGTGAATTATGGAGTTTTACACACAAACTTGCAGCATTTGTTACATTTTCAGCTGGTCTGGTTCTCTGTAGTACGGAGCAGTAATGTCCTTTCAGCTCATGCAACATCTTGAATTATTAAGTCTTTCTGCTACAACATAAGGTTTTTGTAAAGTTTTTCCATTTCTGTGCTGTGATATCTGCAGTTTTTCTTCTTTTCCTTTAAGATACAAATACAGCACAAAATTATGTACAAAATGCAAAAACATAAAAGGGTCAAATATGGACTATTCATTCCTTCTAAGACAGAAAAAACTTTCCATTAGAAGGAAAGAAAGAAAAAATACATTTCAACTATACTTTTGGGTTATTTTTATGATACAATAAACTCATTCGATAGTTTTGGTTGCATCTCTTTTGTTGACATTCTGGTTAATGCGCAGTCCCATCTCAAACTTACACCAATAAACATAAATATGCAGCAATCGATCAATTTTCAATCAGCTTTTTGCACCAAAGATGTAAGAATGCATAAACATCTTTTCCCTGATGCACTTTAAATGCATTTGTAATTGTAAATTGATATTTGTTATCACTCTGATTGTACAAAATAGATCAGGGTGTATTCGCTAATTTATTGCAAAGGAATGCAGTACTTTTACGAGATAACGCAAATGGAAAAAAATCTGCTTTCGCACTGCAGTGTGTCAAACAAACCAAATTATTTCAAAAAGCTGTTCCCCTCGTCACCTGTGGGGGCGCTGCACCACAAACTACTGAAAGAAATGACACACAAGCCTCTGAAGAAGACACTGAGCCCAACTTCCTTATCCACGAAATGTAAACAAACATGGCGCAACGCCAGATTTGATCGGTAAGACGATTTCTCCTTTGTTTTTGGCTAAAGACCAGGAAGCAATTCTCCCGCTAGCAGCTGGCGCTAGGCTAACACGTTAACTTTGGTGGCATTTACCCAGAATGCCCTGCGCTGTAGTCCACTGCTGTCAACATTGATCGTAGCTTCTCTAACAAACATAAACTTAAGCTTTATATTAACTTTAGACACTCTTTCAGGTGTTTCCGGTCAAATAAACGTTTCCGCTTCATCTTTCTGTTGATGCGAGGAGCGGCCATATTGAAATTAAACCCTAAAACCACATTACTAATCCTGAGAATGGGATTTTCTCCCAGTTTACTTCAGGCCCAGTTGATGTTTTACTGGGAAGTCGGACTCTCCCAGTAAAACAGACTCGGCGTCAGTTTCTCCTCTTTACCTGGAAGTTTCTCTTCAGCTCGGCCTGTTTCTTCTGACGCTCCAGCTGCTCCTTCATTTCCTGCTCCTGTTGTCTTTTCTCCTCCTTCTTGTTGTTAGTTTCAGGAACTGGATGGTTTGCCGACACTTGTTCCCTTAAAATGATTTTAAAAAATAGTTTTTAAATTAATTTCATAAGCATGGTTTGCTACTGTCTGCCTTTATGTTAAAATTACGCTTTAAATGCATCGGATGATGTTGCTTTTCTAGTCCATCTGGATTGAATTTACTGCAGTTTTACTAGTTAAATGAACATGTAAGCAACATAAAGATAGAGCTTTATCTGCTGCAGCGTCACAAGTGGCAGATGACATAAATAAGTTTGGTGACAAATGGCTCTGAGGCTCCTGCAGCTGATCTACTTTTGGACATTAGAGAGATTAAAAAAACAACATGGAGACAGGAAGTTTATACTTACTCATCGATGAACTCGTACACATCATCATCATCGTCATCATCATCGTTATCCTGCAAGAAAAATGGTTTAATTTCTACTTTTAAAAATGATCGTCAGTCAAACTGAAGCTCCTATTTATTTATTTGTTTCGTTCTACATGATCTTGTTTTGGTCTGAGAAATCGGTGACAAATCTTATTTTTAACTGCAGTTTAGTGGAAAAGTTTTAACTGCTTCTAAATAAAATCGATTCCAGAAAAACATTAATCTAGTTTCATTTTTGCATCATCGTTTCTTAACTCTACCTCAAAAATGTTTCATTTCGATTTGCTCTCAAATTATAACTTTTGGTCTTCTCTTATTTATAAGAAAAACGCACAAAAATAATCAGTGTTAATATAATTTAATGATCTGAAGCCTAAGAGATGCTAAATGTTTGGAAATTCATGCAATGAAAATTTAAGTCATGCTACTCAGATCCAATCTGATTTAAATAAATTATTGGGTGAAAGTCTAAATATTGTTTATATCTTTTTCCTTACTTGTTTAATTATACAAGAAAATGTGTTTTAAAAGGATTTCACAGTTGTAAGAACCTTTACTTACTGCGTCCATGCAGTGGGAATTATTATCGCTGCAGGATTCTGCAAAAACACAAAGCAAAACTTCTGTTAATTGGGTGTTGAAACATAAATGATGTGTTTATTGTTGGTTTTTTCCAAAGTATTCAACGCACCGTTCTTTTCAAAACTTCCAATGTCATCATAGGTCTCCTGTTCATCTTCAAGGTCTCTGAAATCAGGAATTAAATGTGTAAAAATTAAACTTTAACGATGAATCGAAACAATGCCGAATCAGAAGAAAGCGAAAGTGATGAGCAGAATTAAAAAAAGAAGAGCTAAATTTATAATCAAATATGTTTAGAATCTTTTTTTAATTTTCTGTTTTCATCCTGAAACACAAACTAAACAGAAAGAAAACAAAGTCACAATCATCAGACTTTAATATTTTCAAACATGAAGAGTCTCTGATTTCCTGCGAACAGCGAATGCATCTCTTTCATTATTTATCTTCTAATCGCGCTTCATAAGATTTGGTCTGAAAGCTTTGATCATGTTTACAGTGCTGGCTGTGTTTGTAATGTTGTTTTCTAAGATTAAGAGTCTTCTGTGCTTCATTTGACGATATTGATGTATTTCACGCGCCACATGAATAAAAATGGCTCTGAAAGCTGGATGCACTGTAAAAACGGTTCCTCACACGGAGGCCATCTGCCGCGGCAGCCTGGTGGGTTTGCTGGATCGCTGCGGCGGTTTGGGCGGACTCATCAGCGCCGGAACCGGCATCCTTACATCCGTCGAGTCTGGACCGCAGAAAATATGAAACAAAACACATAAACTCATTTAGTTTCTTTAGAAATACTGTTCAGTTTGTCTCAACTTTTAGAAACTTACAGATTTCTGTTACAAAAATGAACTTAGTGCAAAAACCACAAAATCTGACCCAGTTGGTCCAGTTTCTTGTGGAAAGGTTTAGTGCTTTTGCACCTGCTGCCATGTTGGCCTGATCTTCACAAAATCTTTATTTGCTGGACAGTAAATTGTAGGAATTATGGCGATAAACGATAATATTGTTGTTGTGAGACTATTTTTAGCAACATATCATCGCTTCCTGGAATAATGGCCTTTTTTTATAAATGTGATTTTTTATATTTGCATAATAATGCATGTTTGTGTCTCTCAAAGATAAATAAACTTTTATTTTGTATCAAAAACTTCACACTGGAGCTGGAAAAGATTTTAAATGACCCAAAAAATAGCAACAAAATAAATAAAATAAACGAAATAGAAATAAAACCCAAAACACTTAATAGATCATTAAGCATGAAGACCAAATATTAAAGTTAATAACCTCATTAAGATTAATTATTGTGACAGACATGGTGCCATGGATTTAACTATTTTCTTTTGTATGAATATTTAACAAAAATGATATTTACTGAATGAAACTGTTTTGTTTTTTGTTGTTTTTTCTCTGATTTCTGTGTGGAAAAGTAAAAAAATGACAGAATCAATAAATAAACATTATTGTTATGAACCTACATCTCCTCTGGTCGCCCGGGACGCCTCCTCCGGCTCTGCGGCTCTTCCTGAACGGCGCCAGGTTGACGTTCGGGGGCCGTTTGGGCTTTAGGGGCAGCGGGCCCTCGGAGGGCAGCGGCCTGCGGAGCGGGGTCACCTCTCCGGAGCTCTTCTGCCGGGCCTGATGGCGCAGCAGCAGCGGCGTGGTGGCCGGAGACGGACCCAGGACCGGTGACCTGGCCGGAGACAGCGACGGCCCCGGGGCCCTCTGGTGCGTCAGCATCATCTTCTGCAGCATCTCTCCGGTCTGCTTCACCTTGTTGGTGGCGTCTCCGGACTGAACGGACGCCCGGTTCGAAGGTCGGTGCGAGGAAGCAGCAACAGGTGGGGGTGACTCTTCCTTCGGAGGCCTGGCCAGGCCTTGGTAAGGTCGCAGAGGAATTGCTGCAGATATTTTGTCGTTGTCCGGCCTCCCTAATCCCGGCCGTGGAGATTTGGGGGAGCCGCTGTCCCGGCTGCTGGTGTCGGAGGCCCGGGCCTGGCTGTTGAATCGGGCCCGGAGAGCCTTCACGTCGATGCCGTCCTCCTGCAGAGAAACACAGCGGCGCCGCTTGATCTGCTGCTCTGGGTCTGCAGCAGGAAGTCAGCAGCGCAGCACGGAGCAGGGCATAACCCCCATGCACAAACTCGCTCTGCAAACTCCCACGCGAAGCTTTCACAAGCTGCAGCGCTTCCTGGTCTGATTCTCTCAGAGGTGAGAACTTTCTTTGCAGAGCAAAAACCTTTGTTTGTTCTCTGAACTGCAAGGGAGCAATAAATCCCAAGAAGGAATAACTTCATTCAGGCTTCACTGAAATATTACCAAGAAATTTATGTCTAGTTTCCAGAGCAAATTTCTCACCTGAAATAAGACAAAACTGTCTTACAAATAACATTTTAGAGTTTATTTTAAGTCAATAATTCCTTTGTATTGATGAAAAAGTTCAAGTTTCATTGTCAGATTATTTCATTTCTAAGACATTTGTCCCAGATTATAAAAGAAATAATCTGCTAGTCCAACTAGAACTTTTTAAAATCAATATTAAAGAATTATTGACTTAAAGAAACTCCTACATCTTGCTGATAAAATAAAACATTTACTTAAGTGGACCAAGACATATGGACTAGATTTGGTGCCTAATCTTCACGCTGTTTATTTTTTAGATTGTGGCGTTTTTCTCTTCTGTACTTATTTAGTTATCAGATTAAAATGTCTTGTTTTCATAATGAAGAACAGAAAAGTGTAATAACACCATCATCAGCATGAAAGGATGTAATGCAAACCAAAATTTATCGCCGTCAGTTTTTACTGTTTTTGTGACCATGAGCCGTTTCTCCTGCTAGCGCTCGGCTAGCACGATCATGTTGGTTGCATTTTCCCAGAATGCCCTGGGCTGTAGTCCACTTCCTGCTTTTGGAGGGTCTTCACGTGTCCATTGAACAAAGACTGAATGAAAAAGTCCAGGGATCTGCTGAATTTACAGGATCTCAACTGATTCATGTCATTTACCCGAATGCAGATAAAAACTGCTTTGATTTGATTGATAAGATTATATTTAAACTCTTATGTTGTGCATTTATGCGTCTCTGGAGTCTGAAAGTGTCATTTTGTTTGTAAACATGTGAAAGACGTGAAATTTCACACTTTTTTGTCCGTGTTGGTGTTCCGTACACCAGAACCAGTAACGTTAGTGGAGTGAGTGTCAGATGATTCAAGTGATTATTATTTTATCCCAGAGTTGAGCTCACATCAGGCTCATTGGACATTCAGACGGGTTGAACAAAGAAAACAACAGAAATGCAATTTTTGAGCAAAACTGTGAAGACTAAAGCTGAAAGTGGAGGAAACACTGAATGCATTCACCACTGATCTACGTTTATGTTCAGTTAAAATGAGCCCATCAGAGTGACATCATCATAATAATAATATTATAATGAAACTCCAAACCTCTCTGCTTGTTTCTGAGACTTTTGAGCAGCTGAAACAGCAAAAACTGCTGATGTTTGATGTGTTGCTATAATCCCACGTAATCCCGTCATTCCTCCACAGAAAGCAGCTCTGCTCTCTGGGTCTGCAGCAGACCCAGAAACCCTCTGCTCACAGACTGAGGCAGAAATGGGAAAATCCTCCCTGCAGCTCAGAATCACTGAACGGCTCAGAAACTCGACCCATTAAAGATCTGCTGCACACATTCAGCTTCTAGACGCCACAAATCTGGAACTAACTTGAAAACTACAAAACAGCCGAAACACTGATTCCTTCAGGTCAAAGATAATTTGGGACAAAAGTTTTGTTTTAGTTAAATAATCTAGTATTTTTTTTATCAATGTTAAGAAATGATTTACTTAAAAAGCTCATATTTCTTCCTGAAAAGTCGCTTCTGAGTGAGTTTCATCTTATTTTAAACTTTCTAAAATGTTTTAACTAGAAACTAAACCAGAAATACTTTGTAAGACTTTGTGTTTAAATCATTTTTACAAACGAATGTAAAGATGTCTGTTTTAAAAATAAAGTAAGAAAGTAAAAGTTTATTTATACATTGTAAAAACACAAAATCTGTTGATTTTAATCAAAAATGAAGGATTTATATTTATATAATTTTAGTGTTTTAGTTCATTTTATAAACACAACATAGTTTTTGAGTTTTCCCATTAATTACTGTTCTTATGTATTTCAGTTAATGAAAATGTTTTCTCCTTTTCAGTTTTTACCATTTCATAAATGTCAGATATGATAACCCAGATCTAGGATGATAAGTCAACAACAAACGCTGCAGTAAAACCAGCTGACCAAACCTTCTGCACTTCACTACAATAACTGAGCCTCATCTGCAGCCTGCAGAGTCAAGCCCCGCTGCAGTCGGGTCACGTCTTCAGCCAGGAGGAAGAGCGTTGATGACATCGATGGCGGCGTGACCCTGATGTCTCTGTGGTCTCGACTTCGAGGCTGGAAACGTTGCCGTCTTCGGCGCCCAGCCCAACATAGTGCAGCCCTTTTAACATCGATATAAACCAACCGTCTGGTTCTGTTTCTATAGAACCAGAACCAAACCCTCTGCTCACATATTCTGAGCTTAACGTTATTATGAAAACACTATATCCATTAATTACGTCTCTTTCTAGTCGGCATCGTTTGCATGTGTTGATGTGGTTTTCCAGCAAAATCCACAACAATCAGATAACACAAATATAATAATTATAACTTTAATATTTTACTTTAGACGTGCATCATTTCCATCTTTTTATAGCTTCGTTTCCACAACATTTACTTCCACTGGCAGATTATTTCACTGTGACTCATTTAACTGGTCAGAGACGCAAAAATCTTTTGGGTTTAATTGAACAAAACATGAAAAAAACCAACCAGATTGTTCTACTTAATGAAAAAATTAATCAGATTAATTCTGATTAATCGTTATTGAAATAATCGATTAATGAAAGTTGTTTCTGAGAGAACGACTCTCCCACAGCGACAGTCGAAACAAAACAGTGAAAAATTTATTTACTTTTTGTATTTAAGATGGAAATATTTTCTACACAGAACTTTTCATTTGTCAGTTTTAACTTCTGCTCAAATTTAGGAAAAAAGAATAAAACATCTATTGAGGACTTTTCTATCCAATTATTGATCAATTATTGAATTTATTTTGGTCTGAACTCAGAGATTCAATAAAGGTTGTTAATATTTTATGTACAGTTTCTTAATACTCTTATTCCCATATTTTTATATATTTCAAATGTAAAAAACAAATGAAACATTGGCACAGTTTGCCAATTTTTTAATCACTTAATCATCAGAATAATTGATTGCAGCTGCAGCCCTAATTCACTGCTTCCATCAGCTGTTCTGGCTCAGTTTTGTGATTTCGTCCATGAAAGGTGCTAAACGATTAATCTTGCAATAACTATTTAGTCATCAACTAATCATCAACATACAGACTCAGAAAAGGCCATTTGCTGAAAGAGCAACACACAATAATGAAGCCACTGATTGTTTTTATCAGCTGCTCTTATATCTGAGCTTATTTTCTGAAAGTTGTCGTGTAAATAAACTATTTTAAATCTGGTTGAATTTCAACAACAACAAAAAGTTTTGCTGTAAATAAGAATCCAACAAAGGGAATCGATATTTTGTCCAAAGTCAAACGGAGGATGAAGAACAGGAAGTGCTGCAACCGCAGCCTCTACCTCAGCCAGCATCCTGCGCTGGTTGCCATGGGAACGCCCCCTCTGCACCAATAAGCTGCAAGCTTTGCTCACTGCGACTTTATTCAGCGCCGCCGACTTTTATAATGACAGGGAGCAAAAGAAGCATCAACATGTTTCTGCACCACAAACGAGCGAAGAGAAGGACCGGTGGGAGTGTGTGTGTGTGTGTGTGTGTGTGTGTGTGTGTGTGTGTGTGTGTGTGTGTGTGTGTCTGTGTGTGTGTGTGTGTGTGTGTCTGTGGTGTGTGTGTGTCTGTGTGTGTGTGTGTGTGTGTGTGTGTGTGTCTGTGTGTGTGTGTGTGTGTGTGTGTGTCTGTGTGTGTGTGTGTGTGTGTGTGTGTGTGTGTGTGTGTGTGTGTGTGTGTGTGTGTCTGTGTATCTGTGTGTGTGTGTGTGTGTGTGTGTGTGTGTGTCTGTGTGTCTGTGTATCTGTGTGTGTGTGTGTGTGTGTGTGTGTGTGTGTGTGTCTGTGTGTGTCTGTGTGTGTGTGTGTGTGTGTGTGTGTGTGTCTGTGTGTGTGTTGTGGTGTGTGTGTGTCTGTGTGTGGTGTGTGTGTGTGTGTGTGTCTGTGTATCTGTGTGTGTGTGTGTGCGTGTGTGTGTGTGTGTCTGTGTATCTGTGTGTGTGTGTGTGTGTGTGTGTGTGTGTGTCTGTGTGTCTGTGTATCTGTGTGTGTGTGTGTGTGTGTGTGTGTGTGTGTGTGTGTGTGTGTGTGGGTGTGTGTGTGTGTGTGTGTGTCTGTGTCTGTGTATCTGTGTGTGTGTGTGTGTGTGTGTGTGTGTGTGTGTGTGTGTGTGTGTGTGGGCGTGTGTGTGTGCGTGTGTGTGTGTGTGTGTGGGTGTGTGTGTGTGTGTGTGTGTGTGTGTGTGTGTGTGTGTGTGTGTGTGTGTGTGTGTGTGTGTGTGTGTGTGTGTGTGCAGACAACGGCCTCACCACAGGCTGTGCAGGTGCAAAGAGAAAGCGGCAGAAATTAGATCGACAGACCAGAGCAACAACAAAAAAGAGAAAATGACTCAATCGCGGTGAAAAGTTGCCTGTAGCTGGAAGGTTTCAACATGTTTGATGTGTTAAAATTAGGCTTTTCTTTAATGATGTAAGTTCTTAATAAAGCTAAATAAGTGGGACAGAAAATACTTGAACAGCAGCAGCCGGTATAAGAAGTCATTAAAATTTAAGAGTTAATGACTCAGTTTATTAAAGTCATCAACGTGTAAAATTTGACATCCAGAATGTTTTGTATCTGAACAGATAACAGAGAAGGGAAGCAGCTCTGTAAATAATTAACCAGTTTAATAAAGGCTTCCATTCATCAGCTGCAGTGACAACATTTCTCCTTTTTTAAAGCTCAAACTTCCCTTTTGAATAGTCTGGAAAACAAACACAAGTTTTACGGCAAAGTTTTCTCAGTTGAAAGAAGGAAACTGAGGTTAGACCAACAGAGAGGTGAGAATATCCTCATCTTCAGACTAAAATTGGACTGAGTGGCGCGGAGGAAGTGACCAGAGAAGAAGAGTGAAGGTGTAACTCTGGACTCACCGACAAACTGCTTGGATTTTTAAAATTATACCAATAAAAATGAGTTTCTTACCATTTTGTCTTCTGGGTTTAGTTGTTAGTGTGTGAAGTTTTCCATGTCTGGCAGTAATTCCTTGTTATCCCGGCCGCTGCTGCTGCTGCTGCTCAAACAGCCGTATGACCTGTGAGACTAAACCTGCAGTGAAGGAGGAAATGCTGTGCATGTCAGCGTGGGCAGCTGACTGCAAGCGACACTAAATGATGTCAGCCGAGGGGGTTTCTTTCCTGCCGACCCGAAAACACCCAGAACCACTCAAACCCAACGCTCCAGTCAGGCAAGTGCTTCATTTTACTGTATTTATTAGCACTGAAACGATTAATCGCTTTCATCATGATGAACTAACGGTCAGCTGCTAATTTAGTCATTGATTAATCGTTAACTGATACAGTCTAAAAAATTTCATTCGCTATAAAACAAACTCAGGGAAGTAAATGATATGAAAGGTTCTATATGTTAGAACCTTTCATATCATTGGAAGATGGCTGCCACAGCGTATTTATTAGCGCTGTGGCAGCCATCATTGGAATAACAGACAGATAATTGCTGACTAATTGACATCAGTAACTGACCCAAAAATTTACAAAACTTTTGGTATTCTAGATCCAAAAACCCCTTTTTAGCCCAAACTCTTCAAAGGCAGTTTAATTTCTATTCAATTAATCAATTATTCGTTATCATAATCGATTAATTGTCTGAATAATCAGTTGCAGCTCTTGTACTTTTGCTCAGCAGAAGCAAAGAATCATAAATTAAAGGTAAAGCAGCAAAACTCTGTTTTCTCAGGCGTCGTTTAATTCAATGAAGGATCAAATTCACTGACAGGAAGTTTAAAGCAGAAAAACACAAAACATTTTCTGATCCCGAATGAACAAAACAACATATCCGAGTTTTAAAATCAGCAAAAACAGAAAATAAGCAGATTAACCAAATTTGTATTAAATGATCTTTCAGTTATTTTTATAAGAATTTTGTTTTCCAGATGGAAAGTGTTAATTTAGTTCATTAAAGTGCTGAATCCTCATTTATTAATCAAACTAAATATCTGGAGACATAAACTGAGGCCAGAGCAGCAGGTTGTTGTCCGGTGCTGGAGCGGGGCCCAGTGCAGGGCCCAGTGCAGGGCCCAGTGCAGGGCCCAGTGCAGGGCCCAGTGCTGGAGCGGGGCCCAGTGCAGGGCCCAGTGCAGGGCCCAGTGCAGGGCCCAGTGCGGGGCCCAGTGCTGGAGCGGGGCCCAGTGCAGGGCCCAGTGCTGGAGCGGGGCCCAGTGCAGGGCCCAGTGCAGGGCCCAGTGCAGGGCCCAGTGCGGGGCCCAGTGCTGGAGCGGGGCCCAGTGCAGGGCCCAGTGCAGGGCCCAGTGCGGGGCCCAGTGCTGGAGCGGGGCCCAGTGCAGGGCCCAGTGTGGGGCCCAGAGTGGGACCCGGCTGGGAGGCGTTCTGGTTCACCAGTGGGGGGAAAGCCGGGTTCACCGTCAGCATGAAACCAGGTGGAGGCAGGACAGCAGCAGGGGGCGCTGTAACCGCTGCCGGTAGCGCGGCTGGGACCAAGGGCCACTGGTTTCCAGTAAGCCCCTGCTGATTCCAGGGCATTGAACTGGGAGACACTGGTGGGGAGATGTACGGAGAGCCCCCTGGTGGCTGGGTGGGGAACATGGAGAGGATCTGAGCCGTGGAGAGGACGGCATGTGGAGACTCTGACGGAGAAGAAAAGATCTAAACGTTACTCTGCAAAACCTGCTGGAAACAGAAAAACTTCAGCATTTGGTTTATTTCCACTTAACTTAAAATTTTGTTGTCTCATAAATAATAACTGTTTCTAACAACACAATAATCTATGACTGTAAATAATCCCATTGTTTGTAAAACTGGAACTGCATCTAATTATAGTGCAGTGGATGCCAACCTGTGTTTCCTCCTGTGTTTAAGTCAAAACACCGACATGATAAACACAGATTCTGCTTTTCATTCTGCATAACGAGGTTGTTTTTCTAAATGCAGCATTCCTGCATGACGTTACTGCAGATCAAAGAAAGTAAAGAAATCAGACTGTAAATCAAGGCTATTTTTAAACGGTGTGATGAAGTATTTGGAAAAATGTTTCCTCTGTGCCAACGTGTTACATCTAAAGGTGGCAGAAAGATTCTGCAGACTTCCAAAAGTCAGACAGTTAAAATAAGGACTTTTACAATTTTTGTTTAGATTGAATTAATTTACTCATAATTAAGAAGATGTTCAGATTCCTGATGTCAAAGGGCTACAAATGGCCCCAGGGCCCCAGGTTGGACCCCCCTGGTTCTGACTCACCTGGCTGGCTGACAGGTGGGATGTTACTGGGAGTCAGAGGATCTGTCAGTGGCGGAGAAAATATCTCCATCAGTTCATCACCGGAAGACGCCTGGAAGAAAAACTGTTTATTTTCTTCACTGTGATTCAGGATGTTTTCTTTTCTCTGCACCAAAACATTTCAGTCTGACAAACTTTCAGCTGATAGTTTCTCAGTTCATAGTTTTTATTTATGCATAAACTCAGGAAAGCTGAAAATAATTTCATTGTTTTTGTTAAAAGTGTTTTTGTTGCTGATTCCCTGAACGTCACGTTGTGTGTTTTGTGTTTTATGCACCTGCTGTATTTGTCCTGATGATGATGATGATGATGATGCAGGTGGAGGATGAAGCACATTCTCCAGACCTGCTTCCTGAAACAATTCATCAAATCAATCACAATTACTCCATGATTGAAATAATCGATTAATAAGACAATTTTTTGTGTCTGATTTATCGATTAATCAAACCAATTGATCATTTTCCATAATTCTTAAAATGCTTATTTACCGTTGCTGGAGAAGCCGGATCATCAGTCAGCGTCACTAAAGAGCTATTCTGAAAAAACAAAGACATCTCGGGAATAAACCAACAGTCAGAAACAGAAAGAGGAGAAAGAGGTGAACTGTATTATGTCTGACTCGGCTTGCCGTAGGCTGGTGCTGATGAGACGTTTCCTGTTGCTGACAAACATCCAGGATGTCCAAAATGATTGGATCCGCCTGCAACCCATGAAGCAGATAAAATCACCAAACAATGCAAGACGCAAAACCACGTGACCCATTCTGACCTTTCACCTCCCAGTTCAGATTATTCAGATTATTCAGATTATTCCTAGCCTAATTTGTTTTTTAATAGAGTTTTTAAAATATTAATAATCAATTACACACCCTGCAATTAACCCAATTAGAAAAATAATTATGTCTCATATAATTATTTCAAACAGATTATATAATACATGATAAATTATATGGTTCAAGTACAAAAATCGAGAATAATTTGCAGGAAATTAGCAAATAACTGGAGCCAGATCTCTAACTGGTTTAAAAACTAAATAAAAGATTAAAAATAATAAATGTCTTTGTTGTTGAGTTTATATGTCTATTTATTTTAAAAAATTAGCAGAAATTGGTTTTTGAATTGGAATATTATATTATATTATATTATATTATATTATATTATATTATATTATATTATATTATAATATATTATATTATGTTTATTCAATAATTTTGCAGCAAAAAGAGGTTTTTGAATAGAAAATGTTTCTTTTTTGTCTATTAAAATGCTATTAGTTATGATTTGCTGGAATTGTCAATTCAAATACTTAAAGGAGTCAAACAGTTTTATATGACAGCATCCTGGTTCCATGATGCTCTGCATCGCTGGGCGTGGTCACCTGGTGTCCCGCCTTGATGTAGAACAGGATGAACTCGTCTTCATGTCTGTAGACGTAGGCCAGCGCTCGGGGGTCCGACTTGTCTTTGGTCACCGAACTGATCCTGGATCTGTCGTGGTCGTGAAGCACAGCCTGAAAACAAAACAAAGACAGAAGGTTAGGAACAAGTTCGGCTTCAAAACTACTTCTAGAAACCAGGAAGTTCCAGTTTATACAAGAAAACATCGGAGCTGATGAGACGAGTCAGTGGTTGAACTTTAGCTCCACTGCAAAAACACAAAATGTTACCAATGCATATATTTGCACTAGAAGCTAACTTTAAGTTTTTGCAGTGCAGGTCAAATGCTCGGTTTGAGTCTCTTTACTTGATCACTTATTGTTGGTATGAAGCTACAGGAAGAAGAAAAATCCAATAAAATGCAATGAAAGCAGAGTTTCTTCACCGCAGTCTGAATATTAACACAGAGCTGAAAAACACTGAAAAATGTTTATGGAAGTGATGTCATTTTTACTCTGCAGAGCATTTGTGGGCCATCTGTCTGATCTGCATCAAATATTTCACCCAGGGTGTCCAAAGTGTGGCTCGTGGGCCATTTGTGGTACTTGGAATGATTTTGTGTGGCCTCCAAGAATCATAGAAATTTCAATACAAGTGATCCAGATGGAGTCTTTTTATGTACTAATCAGAATAAAATCATTTGATAGTAATGCACGATATATCGGCACCACTTGATGATATTAATCATCTTTTGACGTATTGATAAATAAAATTGGTCCAACACAAACAACTGATGTTTATTCTGTCTGTTTCTGCTTCAGTTTCTTTTTCAAACGTGTCAAAACTGTATTGAGATATTATATATTGGTAAATATCGGCCATGACAGCGATACTAATATCGAATATTGATATCGGTCCAAATATTGATATCCTTTCTTTTAATCTAACAGGTGAAAAATCCTTCTGAAGTTTTGGATCTATGATGAGTAACGTCTCTTTCTGACTAAACGTAAACATAATTGACTTCTTTGTCAATTAATTGTCGTTGTTATTTTTCAGGCCTGTGAGACGTTTGGATCAAACTGTGAGGAGAGAAAGCGGAACGTGTGTCCTGTCGTTGCTGGATCCGATCCGGCCGGCTCACCCCGGTCCGCTCATCCAACATCTTCAAGCCGCTGGAGGAAATTTTCAGCCAGATCCTCATTTTGTGTTTTCCCTGTTTCCTCGCTGAAACTTCAAATCCCTTCAATACAAACAGGAAAAAAACGGAAAAGGAAAACTGGGATCAGATCAGAAACACAGGAAACCGCAGCAAAGTCATGATGTGAAGGATTTGTGTTGTTTGAACACATTAATGTTTCTCTTTTCAACTGTACAAATATAAATTAATATCATTTTGGATGATTTAATGAAATATTTTATGTTCCTCAACAACCCCAAAAATATAGATTTCTGCTGATAAACTGACTAACTGGGTTATTTAGGGTTCCAGCTATTTTTTTATGTCCATTTTTATATTTTTTTATATTTTATGTGTTTATTTCTACATTATTTAGCCTAAAACTGTTTCAGTTCTGGTTTCCTAAACAACTGAATTATTCTATATTGTATTATATTTTGAGGATTGAGAACAAAACAGTCCCTTGTTCATTTCCAAGTCAATTCAGCATAAAACAGGTTTGTGTCTCACTAGCGCCCCCTAGAGTCAGGAAGCTCTAACCGGCAGTGCAGCAGCTTCCCATTAAAACCACTTTTATAGAACAAAGTGAAATAAAAAGTACTAATTATTCATCTTCCTTTTCAATGTCATTTTCTGATGTTTCTATAAACTGTGAGAGAAACAATGGATTCATTTACTGATTTTAACAGATTACCTTCAGTTTCATCATGGAGTCCAGCAGCATCTTCTCTCCCTGTGGTTCCGGTACCAGGTCCAAGCCGATCAGCTTGGCCTTGTAACGGACCCCGTCCCCTTCCAGCCGGGCCCGGGTGTCCAGAACCGGACCTGACAATCACACAACGACACAAAACCATCAGCAGAAACGAAACGACAAACAGCAAAAGGTTTCCGGCTTTGAAAAGTGCATTAAAATCTAACCTCAGATATGATTTTGTTGAGTTTTTTAATTTATTGACATAAAATATAAACATAGTTTTCACTTTTCCACACATTTGTTGCTCAATTTACTAAGAAAAAATGTCAAATCATCAGATTCTCATTAACTTTTTACAGCGCTGAGCTCAGCATGTCACCAAGTGACTACTTCAGGTGCACTTTTTTATATTCTCATAAAAACATAATCCCCTTGTAATGGTTAACAAATCAGAAGAGGATTTTCTTTCCCTTTGGTGACAAAACGCAGAGGATATTCCAGGCTCAGCAGGACGACTCACTCACCAAATAAACAGATATTAATCAGCTCCACGTAAAAAGAAGCTTCCTCTAGTTAAAAAATAGTTTAAATTGTTTCCAGGTGTTTGTGATGTTCCTAAAACAGCTGGAGGACTTCCAGAAGTACACAAAGCAAAGGAAGAGAAGAAGAAGAAGAAGTCCTTCCTGCTTCTTCCCATCAGGAAAACCATGTTTCCATGTTTAGGACGACTTTGTTCACCAGTTAAAACCATCAAACTGAGACGTTTTCTTTACTGGAAACAAATAAAAGCTGCAATTAATGGAGAAAATGGCAGCTGACTGGAACCAAATCAAGCCTTTATAAAACAGAGTGAAACCAGAGATGTAATATTCTTTGTTTTGGTGCAAATTAATACATTTATTAGCCTTTCGAGCTGATGGTCAGCAGGTTGTTCAACCTGATACTGTTTCAAACTTATGTTTTCTGTTGAGTATTCAGTCGTTATATCCATGATCATATGATGGCTTTTCTACAAATCTGCTCTTATAATGAACCAAAAATGAAAACTATGGAACTGCAAACACAACCAATAAAAACTAAACAATATTTAACTAATCAGGAGAGCAGAAACTGAACTCAAGTAAGAGAAGCAGCAACAGTTCAACATTTCTTTACATAACTAAAAATAAAATGTCCAGACGTTACTGAAGAGTAAAAACGTATTTGGCAAAAAGTCGACTCAAAAACAGAGTAACTAATTAAATTATCAATCATTTAATATTTAACAATTACGTCATCAGATGGACCAAAATATGATGTTAAGTAGAAATGTTGGTATTTTAAAGAGCAAAATGACAATAATTCATATTAATAAAAGAAACACAAATCCAAATCAGTTTCTCTCTGAGAAAACCAATAAAAGTTGAACAGAAACTGCATGTGTGAGTCTGGTGAATTAAAACATGTTTCATTCAGTGGGGAGAGAAACCAGTTGCTCCCCAACTCTGCTCATCAAAACTGATGAAAACCAGCAAAGACGCTCTAAAAGTTATTGAAACTAACTGACAGATAAAAGTCACGACAAATTCAAACTAAACGGTGATGAAAAACTAACAGTTGCACCTCGGTTTCCATCCTGAATCTGCACGGCGCCGTTTGCCTCGCCTGAAGTTCTCCTGAGACAAACTTCAAACTAAACTCTCATACCTCTTGTCAAGTATGGTGGCCAGCCTCTGACAGCCTCTTGGGCCTGAGTGAGACAGCTCCCAGCCGTTTGCACCGCCTCGGTCACAGCGCTTGTTTCCTTGAGGTTCTGCAGAATCCTGGAGGCTTTCAGATGTTTTTCCTGCCCAAAATAGAAACTTCTCACCATCAAGATGCAAGAAAAACCTGAAAATATTTGCGGCTGCAGAGGAGAGGTCCTGCTTTGACTCACCTGCAGGGAATCCATCTTCACTTTGACCCAGCTGCTTGGCCTGTCCCACTGACAGAGCCGCTGGGGGTCAAAGGTCAGGCTGCAGACTCACTGGTGATATATTAACATCCGCTGGGAGGCCCACATGCATGGGAACGTTTTCAGCAGAACGAAGAGGCAGCAACAGGGAGGATCTCCCTCAATGGTGACCTAAGGTCACGCATTTCCCTCGACGGTCGGCTGTTTGGTGGCATTTCCTAAAATAAACCAATTACAACCAGAAAAAACAAACCAAAACGATCAGAGCGTCTGCAAAATACTGACAACAATACTTAAAAAACCTACATCTACACAGCGTGTTATTTTCTTTATGACGTCAAGTTATGTAAGGTGAACATTGATATATAATAAACACATAAAGGGAAAACATTTTATGATGTAATTCAGTGTCTTCAATAAACCAAAGCAATTAAAACAGTTTAAAATGGTGTCATTGAAACTAAGTGTCATTTTTACATCTTCAAGAAGTTTTTAAAAAAATCACACTTTCCATATGACATCACTCTACTGGGAACTTTGTTCCCGTCAGCCATCTTGGTAGGCATGGGCTATGGTGTTGCTAGAACAACAACAAACAAGCTAATAGCGACCAAACTGATCATTATTTCTTTTCTGAGCACAAAACATGTTTTTGAAGACGTTTTTCAGGCTAAGCCAAGCTTTCAGCCTGGAAGTTTTCAGGTTGTTTCTGAACAGCCTAACGAGTTCAGATCATCTTCCAGACTACAGCAAACATCTGAATAACTTGTAGAGATGAGTAATTGTTGTGCTGATGCTGTTTGGTTGTTTAGAAACAAAACCCCTAAAGATTTACAAACCTGCGTAAATCTACAGTTCTCTGATTTTCCCATTGTTCTGTCCAACAACTCCAACCAAATATCAGCAAAACTCTTTATGTTGGCAAAGAAACCCCAGCAGCTGCAGCCCATCACACAGACACGTCAACAGGCCTCATCCTGGTTAAGCTATATGACACCCAACAACCTTCAAAACATTTAATTATGACCCTTTGAGACAATCAACCACATATTTACATTTGACCCTCATGTTATTCTAAAATCCACATATGTTAAAGTCAGGGCTCTCCTGCATTCCTGTCAGAAATAATCGGGGCTTTTGGTCGGCTCTATGGTCAAAGTTCCTGTGGGAAATCCAGAAGGAAGTCTGGTTTCACTCCAAAACGTTTTGTTTTAGTAAACTACAGCGTTGCTATTATGCTGAAACTAATGGAGAAGACCAGGTCAAGTAGATCCTGATAGAAGGCAGCAGCCGCATTTCCTCAGAAAGGATGAATCTCTGAAATTCAGGAGGGAAATGATGCAGCAGCATCTGCAGCGGAGCACCGTGACTCACCATGAGGAAGACAACGATCAATTAAAACTCAGAGGGTTTGTTCATCAGGCTAATCAAAAATAAAATAAAGCCTCAGATCAAAACCTTCTGAATTTAACTGTTTTTGTTTCAGATTTGATTAAATTCTTGTCATCTCTTAGTTTAACCGTTAAATCTTTTTTAATACAAACGATTATTTTTTAATTTTGGGTTTGTATTTTCCCCTAAAAAAAAAAACTCTACTTTTTGTATATTTGTAATCAATTATAAACACATTTTATCTTCATCACTGGTTTTCTCTGAATTTGATGACAGAATTACAGCCACTTTTTCTCGGACCTGCACTGAAATCCAGTGAATACAGAAATGGTATTCAATAACTAACTAATCTTCAATAAGTTTAATTACTATTTTAATAGTGAACATCTACAAATAAAATAAAATAAATCTGATTGAAACTACGCCTAAAAGGCATTAAATGCCTTCATATATAAGCAATTTAAATGTAATTAATTTTTATCCAAAAATATACATTAAATCACTATTAAATAACATTTTTACAAAATTAAATTCTCTCATATCAATATTTTTATGAAAAAAACATCTCTTACCTCACTGTGTGCGTTTTCATCCCTGAGGTCCGCCATTTTGGATTGTGAAGTATCAGTTTGTGTCTGAATCTGGCATGAGGTCACATGACCTCGATATTGGCCCCGCCCCCTTTAAATGACTCCAGTCATGATTGGCAGCCATTTTATTTACAGCTTGTGAAATTTCTGTATCGTTTCAGTGCCGAGTTGTTGCATTAAAACAGAATTAATGAGAAAGTTGAAAACATGATATAGTCTAAAGTATGTGTGTTTCATTCTTTCACAGATAAATGAACTTAAATCATATTTTGTTCTCAATCCAAATGGTTAAAATGACCTAACAGCTTGAACTCCTCTGCAGACCCCACACATCCTGGACACAAACCGTTCAGACTTTAACATTCAGATCGACACTGCAGGACATTTTTTATACTGTCATAACTGTCATTTTTTCTTTATCTTTCTTTTAAATATCTGCAAATACATCTTTATTTTGTTCCCACTAAAGCTTTGGTGTCCAGACTGTTTGCCTGCCTAAAAATGCAAAAATGAGTTTGTAATTTTCTTATTTTTTCCAGTTATTAAATATAAAATGTCTCCTCAAAAGAAAAACAGACAATTTCAAATTGATTTGGGGCATCACTTTTGTTTGCTAAATTTTCATCCATCTTGACTTGAAGTCACAGTTTAATCACAGTCTTTAATGGAGAAAACATGACTCCTCCACCGTTTCCGTCTGAAAAGGTTGCAATGCGCAAGCGATGCATTTTCTCCAATAAATATTTGCATACCAGGTCTCTTGTGACATGGAGCTTAGCGCAGCAGAGCGCTTTCTGTTTGCAGGAAAAATGTTCTCAAGCACTGCGGCTCACTTGTTGCAACGGGAAGCGTTTCATCTCAGATTAGGAGCAACTTTTCTCAGATCTCTTTAAAATTGGGGGGAATCTAATAAAGTTAAAATAATACACAAAAAAGCAGAATATCAGATCAGGGCAGCAGATTTGGTGGAGCAGCAGAGACTTTAGTATCCCGGGAAAATTAAACAGGAGATTTAATGAACAGAAAAGGAGGTCAGAAGAAGGTCAGGGACTGCTGTCATCGCAGCGTTCACGAGGTTTCAAGTTTCCTTTTAACAAGAACAGTGAAGGGTGGCGGTAAGAGGAAGATTTCCCAGCACCGACAACAATATTGAGGAAATAAAAACATGCATTAAGGAGCTAATCTCTCAAAGGACAGATGGCCCTGTTGTTAAGCAGCTGCAGGTCATTTTATCTGACTCCCTGTGCAAAATATTATACAACTTAACTCACAGTTAAGTTGTATAATATGTATATTATATTGTATATTATTATTTCTTCAGATTATTTGCATCATTGGAACAATATATGAAAATCCTGAGTATGAAGGAAATGCATGACTAAAAGTGTTATTTTTGGGTTATGTCCAGAGTCCTGTCAGATGTAAATTAATGGCCAAACGTCATGTGAGATCTGTTCAAAAATAAACAACCAGCGCTTCCCTGATTGGTCCCTAAAGTATCGTAAAACTCCAGGCTCTGCAGCTCCGTGTCAACAACAACTGAAGACCCAGCAGAGAAACAGCAACATGAAAGCTTCCCTCTGCAGATCAAACGTCGGCCTGATGATGCTGGAAAATGTGATCCCACTAACTGTTAGTTGGCGATGATTTTCAGACTAAATGTTTAATTTAACAATCCAGACAATGGATTTCACCTGTTTGCTCTGTAACGCATTTTGATTCATGTGTTACATCTACAGCCGGGACTTTAACAAGTTCATTTTCACTAATTAACTACATATTTTGTGACCCATTAGGTCATTTTTACACAACTTAATGACTTATAAAAGGCTGGAATCTTTGTGTTTGCTGCTCGTTTCTGGTTCATATCAGACGTTCATTCAACAATGTAGAAACAAAAAGCGTTTTTGAATTAAAAATGTTGTTTAGTTTGTTGACCTTAAATTAAAATGTAATTCATGAATTACTGACCCTGCAATTAAAAAGCTGAAAAATGTTCATCAAATCCCACCACTAGATATGCAGGTTTATTTTTTCACAGCAAAAAGTCAAAATATTTCTGCAGCTTTTTTAATTGACAGTTATTCATAAGGAATCAACTGAAAAGTCAAACTGGGGGGAATTTAAGAGTTTGAAGCAGAAAATAATAAATAAATCAAAGAATCCAAGTTTAACTACAATAGAGAAGTTTCTCTTCATAAAATATACAAATGAAAAAAGAATATTCATTATTATAATTAAGTTGTGTGATTTGCACCGTTTGGAGAGAGAGACTCACAAAGAGCAGAAGAAGAAGAAGCTCAGATCCATGTTAGGAAACTGGAGAGGAGAACATTCTGAAAAACAACTGTCTAGATTATTTTATTGTTTCTTAATTAGCATAAACACAAAATAAGATGCTGTTCATTTTTAGAATGTTTTCTTTTTTACTGTACAGAAACATTTAGTCCTAAAACACTGCAGATAACAGGCTGCTGCTCTGCTTACCCTCAGTATAACATCATTTTAAATGCATTGCATATATCAACCTTTAGCACCTTCAGTATAGAGACATGTAAAGACTCTTGCAGAAACACAGGAACTGCTGCGAGTTTTATTCATCATTTGCAACTCTTGTGTTTGAGTTCATAGAGTTCCTCTGCAACACAATCATATGAAGTTTATCTACGCAGATTAGTGGGAAAGTCTTACTATAATAAATACCCAGTGATGTGCAGCGCAGGTGTCGTATCTGAATCCAGCTGTTTGGCAGCTGCAGGTAATCAGTTAGATTTACTCTTGGCACAAACACCTGAAGCTGCTTGGACAGTAAAACAATAAATTACAACAGCAACCAGGCAACATCCAGACCCAACCATGAAGGACTGAACTGTGTTAAGAGAAGAAGAAATAAAAACTCTGAATCCCAGAATGCACTGTGATGATGTGACATCATGGATGCTCTTAGATCCTCTTTCCTCTCACTAAATTGTGTAAAATATGATCCAACAATCTTTCAAACTTGTGTCTGAAATTGGTAAAAACTAAATGCGCTGCTAATGCTAAAGCTAAAGTAGCCATTTTTGTTTGTGAACTGGT